GCTTTTCTTTTCATCCCTTATTTTCATGCTTTACAAATGACACAACAAGCCAGCGGCTCTGTGAGGCTGTACATGGGCAGCAATACTTAAATAATACTTATAATACTTATAATACTTAATACTTATTGTTAGCAATACTAAATGCTAACATCAACACGTGTTAGCATATTAACATGTGCTAATTAGCGCAAAACCGGTACAGCTATGGATGATGGGAATATCATTAATTTAGCCGTTTTTTGGTCTGTTTTTTCTGCCAAAATGGTGACCTGACAGACCGACATTGCCCTAAAGCCATTGTCAAGCTGTCAGCATAAATGTATCATGAATGTTTTTAATTCCAATGTTTTTGTAACCTTTGTTTTAGCTTCAACCTGGACGGCGTAGGCGATTACATCTTTTTTTAATTCTGATTATTATTAGTTTTATAACGTAGGATAAGTCTATTGCTCGCAAACATGTTGTCACATTCCTTTGTAGCATTTTATTTTCCTTTACATTTTTCTATTAACACAACTTTTCTCCCCATTGATTTGCTCATGATTTGTGGTTGTCATGGCAACAGCAGAACTGCAGGCTGCCGTGTGTGTGTGTGTGTGTGTGTGTGTGTGTGTGTGTGTGTATTTATGCGTGGCAGGGGGGAAGCCGAGCCCCTCCATCCCGCCCCTCAGCCTCCATCAGTGCTGCAGCTCAGGCACGAGAGCCTTTTGGAGGGGGCGGGGTCTGTTTCGCTGCAGAGGGATGCACTGCAGCCCCACGCTGGACCAACCAGTCTGGAAATCCCTGCTCACAGGCACATAGCACACACACACACACACACACACATTTAAATACACACGTATGCTGACTGCAATCAAACCCCCTCAAGCTCACAGCATCTGCGCTACATCTCCTCCCTCTCCTCTCTTTTCTCCTCCTTAGCTCTCCGACGCTCGGTCCTCCGCAGCTCTGACTCACTCGGCTTTCCTTTTCCCATCACTGCCAAACTGAACCACACAACCTGGGATCATGTCCTCCAACCTGCCCCCAGGGACCGCCACCGGGGCTAAAAACAAGCCCCTCTCCCCCTTTAGGAAGCGGGGCAGCCTGCAGTATGCAGCCAGCACAGGTGAGTGGAGGTTGCATGGAGATGGAGAAGGAGGACGGTTTGAATGTGTTGGTCCAGTAACAGAGGAGGAATCTCACATGAAATGAGCCTGAGGTACTGTGGCTCTGGACTGTCCTTTTTTATTAGCAAAGAAACAAAGCACTCATCAGAGGAAGCCAGTGTGCAATACTTTTTCTCTGCGAGTAGTTTGGGGAAATGCAAACCTGTTGATGAAGGAGGTGTAGTTGAGGATCCTCTGTGGAGGATTTCGGCATTTATACCCTGCAGGTTCATGTCAGTGTGCTTTCTTACAGCTTTTTGTTCATCCCTTATTCTCTGGCTTATTTTTATGAGGGACACAACATGCATACATAAATTCTCTAGCATCAGCCAGAGGGTAATTTACAGTAGGATCAGCCAGTGCTGAAACCATTCTGACGTCACTGAAATGTTGCTTAACTCGTTGTTGTGAGGGGAAAACTAATTTTGTCAGTTTTGATGTTGTAACTTAAATGATCACATGGTCCTTCATGTGTTGGGGACCCTTTTGGCTTGTGACGTCCTTTCCAAACATGTTGCAAGATGAGAAAATGACCTGAAAATACTTTGTTATTATTAATGAGTTGCTTACGTTGAAGACAGCGTCGTTCATGTAGCCTGATGGCAGTATGTGGCCTAGGTAGAATATGTAGGTTGGTACCTCAGGACTTGATCCCTGCTGAATGAGAGGATTAGCCTCCACTCTGATGTAGGCACACGCTGGTCAGCCTTTCATCCAAACTACAAAGAGTGTAGAATGACCATATGACAGCCATTACCCTCCCATCTGTTCATTCTGTGTCGTCTCCTAATCCAAACTAATTTTCTCCAATATGTAAAAAAGGTTCATCACCATCATGCATTTAATTGAAAACACTGGTGTACTTTTTTCTCTTGAAATTAGTTTATTTTAATTGGAAGTGGATGATATCACATATAATCTCCCTCTGCTGGCATTTTACATATTAGAATTACACAGCAAACAAACGTTGCTTTAAAATATGCTGTATCTTTAAAAATCACCCAGGTCCCGTTACCACCGGAGACACGTACGACAGACAGTGACATGCTGTGACATTACGATGACTGTCAAGGTGGTCAGAGATTGATTTAAAGCCCTGACAATGAACACAACAGCTGGAAGTCACAGTGATTTACCAACCGCTGCAATCAGGATGCTCTCTATGATTACCCTCATTTATAGCTCGTAACTGTCTGTGGCTGTTACAGAATTTGTTATGGAGGAGTAAACAGTCACTGAAATGATGAGAGGCTGTCTCAGCTTTTATATTTGATAGCCGGATTTCTTTTTCTGTTTTATAGACGTAGAGCGCTTCACAGAGGTTTGATTTAGAAAGACTCTGCAGAAGCACATTAAGATAACATTCACATGTTGTGTTGTTAAAGCATCCAGGGAGCCATCTGAGTAGGCAAAGACAACATTTAGGTGACTCATCATCTTTTGTTTTTTCAAAAGGCCACTGATCTAGTTTAGGTAACATTATACAGTCTGTACAGTAACAGTACAGTCTGTGTAGATAGTAATCCGTGCAGTGAAAACAGGCTGCAGATACACTATCATTTAACTGAATTTTGATGAACTATTTTAATAATTGCTCGTGTCTTTTCTTTAAATGCTTAATGAAAACTCGATAAAGTGATTGCTATTATTGAATCCGCTGCAGTCGCTCTTAACAGGATCATAAAGGATTTATCGCCAGAAACTTTCATTTCACTCGTTTAACGATTGTCTAAATCGACACTTAGCATGCTGGAGGAGCTTTATCTTGTGGATCCTGAACTTTTGATCCAACGGGCCAATCAATCAGCACAACCGAGTGGAATAGACCTGGAAGGCTGCAGCTCATCTAATCAGCATCAAATGAGTTTGAATCACTCACATCTAACCTTTCTTTTATGGACCCGCTAAACACATACCGTTGTCTATCAGACAACCCTTTGCTCTGTTTTGCTGTTATTGTGTGAAGAGCTGAGGCAAAGTGTTGTTTTGGTGTTTGTCCATATTTAGACATTGTTGCAGGGTTTGTGGAGTGAACTCTGCAGAGAACGGCAGTGTGTGAATCACTTCTCTGGCTGTGAAAAAGGTAGTTCTGAGATTAGAGCGCCACCCACTCACCAGTCAGCCTGTTCTGTGCCTCGTGCTGTTTTACACTTGTTGGACTACTTAAATCAGCACAAGAAGAACGTAGCAAGATATTTTCTAACTGATGAAAGCTTGCACAGTAAGTGACATAAACAGTCATTATTATATTCAGCAAAGGCTAATACACACACTATCTTGGAAAATATAATTATAATCATCATAAACTTTATTACATAGCACTATAGTATTTAACAGATATAAAAAACAGATGGATTTATAATATCTCTCACAGGAGCACAAAATAAATGATTGATAATAGTTCACAAGAGTAAAATATATATTAATGTTGTTTCTTTCATACTTGATATTTGTGAAATAAGGGTTCTCCCATATCCAGGACAGCCGCTTTACTTAAGTGATTGTAGAAAAATACTCCATTAGTAAAAGCACAAAAGTTCTATATTCTGAAAAGTATGCTGATTATGCAACAGAAGGCATCCTGCCAGTGTAATATATTATCATATCTTAAATTGTTATTACTCATAAGTTAATGTGTAAACGGCATTTTTAATGTTGTAGCTTGATATTCTGTTGGCTAGTTAAACTTGTACCAATGCATCATATTTTATAAACTGATCAGATGTTTTTTGTAGGTACAATTGTAACCTGCAAAGTAACAAGTAATTATGGCTGTCAGAAAATGATGGTGGGGTAAAAAGTGCAATTTTTGATAAAAGTATAGAAGTACTTTCCACCTCTGCAGGAAAGCAATACTACAATAACATAAAAGAGGATAAACTACGATTTACTAAACCTGGCCGTTATTCAGAATGATCATGTATACAGTACATGAGGTTCATGATGGACCTTTGAACACAATGTACTTCGCCCACATCTTGTTCACGCCGCCTTTGGTTGTGTCACATGCTTGTTATCGTTTTGTGTCCACACATGTCGGGGTCTGTGTCATAAACAAATACTGTAATTACAGGAGAGAGACCCTGTCGGTTAAATGTTAAGCCTCGTCTCTCCCCTCATGAACGCAATCTGTACAAACAATGATTGACCGAGCCCTGGGACTCCCACCCCAACACACCTTCATCTGATAACCTTTAGTGAGTCACTCCTCGTGTGCATCTACACTTCCTACTGTTGTTTAGTTGTCTGTGTCTCGTATGAATCAACATCTGGCCTGTTAGAGGTCTCGTGGACTTGTGACCTGTGGGTGGGACCACCTCTTATTCATACTCAATGGTGTGGTGCTCAATAGAGTTACTTGATACCAGCTGCGGTTTGCAACACATCAACATGTGGAGAGCCAGAATCTTGTTTGAAAGGTACTGTGCATGCTGCTGTTGACATGATATGACATTAAAGGAAATGTCTAGTGGCTGAAATCTTGTAGAGTTTTGTCTCTTGGTTAAAGAGATAGACATCTACTGATGTACTGTATGTATTCATATTTGGTCCTGTTAAAATTTATATTTCACCAGATCTCAACGGGAAACTTTTTATTTCATTCATCTTAAATCCATATAGTTACTGGCTACTTTTCAGATAACTTTTTTAAAGCTATAATGATTGACATCAAATTAATTGGCAGCTGTTCTGTTTTAAAAATCAACTAATTGTTTTAAGCATTTTTTAAACAAAAATACCAAATATTAGCTGGTTCCAAATGTTAACATTTGCTGCTTTATTATCTTGTGTGACGAAGAAAAAAAACAAGCAAATTGAAGACGTCAGTTTTCTTGAAATATTTTTTTTAAGAAAATTTGAAACAAAAAAAAAATCACAATAGACTAAATGATTAATCGATTGGTCACTTAACATCAAGTTGATTGATAATGAAAATAATCATAAGTTGCAGCCCTAAGCATTTTCATATATAACATGTCATCAAAAAAGTACGACGCATCTCTATAGATGAAGATGCTCAATATAGCTCCATCTCAACCAGAATTCTATTTACATGTTAATGTATCACAATAATAATGCAATAATATCATATAAACCACTGAAAGCGACCATTCTGCATAGTGATCACTTATATTTTGCTGCTATGCTTTTACTTAGTAAAATTTGGAATGCAGGACTTTTGTTTTTACTCTAGTAATGACTTTTAGGTTGGGTGGATTCATGCTTTGCAAGCATCTAGAGTTCAATTTGTGACAAGCTTATGTTGGTTTGTGTGTGATGCAGTATTAGTCCACCAGAGGGAACCGGGTCTGAATATATGGAGCTGCCCTGATGAATCAATGAACAGTAATCTTGTTTATTGTGCTCCTCTTGAGGCCTCATCAATTTGATTCCATCTCGTGAAAGCTATTTTGGCTTTATGTGCCTTTCGAGGGTCAGCAGTGATTTGCCTGAAGTCAGATTGCGTTTGGCTTTCTGTAGCACTCAGTGTTTTTTTCTGTCCAGTTTGTCAGCAGTGCTTTCAAACTGGATTAATCCAGTTTGTCAGCAGCTCTCCATAAGCTTGAAAGGAGGAGAAAGATGTGTTTAACTTGCGGTATATGAAGTTCTGACTAGTCGGTTTGTATGTATGATACTGTATTGAGTTGAATGGAAATTCTGATTGGATGCTCAGGGTCCTAAAATAGAGCAAAGTGCATTATATTTGCTTTGATAACAGATGATGAAAACAGCTTCAGAAACGATAGTTTAAAGAATAAGAAGGGCAATATTCTATATATTGTCCCTATTGTCAACAAATCTCATCAAATTAATTGATCTGGTATTTCCAAAGCCTGATAGAGCTTTTTCCTCTGTCTCATAGAGCTCCATTGCTGTCCAACAACTATTAAAAACACATCGAAGAACCACACTGTGAACATGGGAACTGTAGTTTATTTTGACTAAATCCCACATACACAGTCCCGCTGCTGTTAATAGTCACTGGCGCACTGAAAATAGTCCCCAACAAATTCACTATTTACTTCTGTCTGAGTAACTTTTTCTGGAGACATAAACCCAAAATGATTTAGTGTTTTTAAAAAGGAAATAATATATTTGTGACAAACTTTTTAAGACTTACCTCTTTAGCATGAACCAATAGGCTTGGGGCTGAGGACCACAGACAGGGCAACAATAACAAATATATAGACTGTTGCCTGTCTTACTCTTTGTAAGAAAAGTGTAAGAAAACTGCACAAATGCTTAAATAACATTCTGTGTTTGGGCCAGAAAAGGTTTAAGCCTTCTGATTCAGCTTTGAGTTTCAAGTTAAGACAATTGAAGTTGAACTCTAGACAGTATTGAGCAAGAGAAGATACGATGGGCAGCGCAAACACTTTATACAAACTGCGGTTGATTGAGCTTAAATGGCTCATACTCATTGGTGCAAATTAATTTGATCAACTCTTAACTTACAACAGTTTTAATAATCATAGATTTGTCTATATTGTTTGTAACACTTTCTGAAACCCTCAAATTACCCAGTCATGGGTATTTTTGCAAATCTGGAATATAAATGTCTCATTGTTTTGATCTGCCGTGACTGGAAGTTTTTATCCAGATCTTAGCAGCAATTTAAGTGCAGTCCGGTAAATGCTTGAAACCTTTTTCATTACATATTTTTACAATTAAAGCATGCAGCTGTTATAATAATAAGAGGAGAGATATGACCGCAGAGAAGCTTGCACACTGCAGACACAATGACAGATGTCACAAACGTCTATCATTCTGTGTCATGAAATTGCATCGGTTTAATGAATTATGAATGTCTTATTTCAGCAGTTTTAGCATACACACGGTTCTGTGTTTATAGCGTGAGAAAGTATGTTCCAGAAATTACTGCTGCAACCATAATGAGCACAACCTGCTGGCCCTTTAATTGCATTCGTGTGAGAGGACATGGAGGCAAGGTCTCGTTTATTAGACGGTCATCTCCCTCAGACTGCTGCTATTCAGCTGGCGAAAAAAAGACCATGACATCTCAAACCTTACCGCTGAGGCAGCACCATTTTATTCACACAGACGACACAAACAACCCGAACACATGGTCCTCTCAGTAAAACACAGCACAGAGGACAAAGTAGAGGACAGCGGGGGTGTTGTTGGGGAAACTCACAGCAGTAGGACCCACATCCTCCAGTGATGTATGTCTCTCTCCCCCCCCCCCACCCCCCGCCTCCTCTCCCTCCTGTGGTACGTTCCAGATACATGTCAGAGGCATTTAAATGAGGAGGATCAGCTCCAGAGGAAGCTAGTGCAGCGACAGCTGGCCTGAACCAGGAGGCAGACAGAGCAGAGGGGGGTCACCCACTGATGTGAGGGGGAGTTCATGGACCTGCTGGACCAGCTCTTTGTATGTATGATAGGGACAGATTAAGGGAATAGAGGAGATGACTCTTTGACTCTGTCAGAGCATGTTTATGTTTGAGCGTATGTGTGTGTTTTTATGAGTGTTTGAAGTGTTTCTTTCTTGTTATCCATCTCCATTCTTCCCTCCCATCATGTTTAACGCATCTTGAAATGACAGCAGACGCCATCCTGGGCCATTTGCTGTTTGGCATGCTCCATCTCTCGGTCTGTCTCTCTCTCCTCTCCTGGCCCTTATAGCTGCTGGTTAACCCTGGCTCTGAGGAGACAGGTACGCTCCACTACCCTCGTCCTGTGCAAAAGCACAAATAACGCTCTTCCCCTCTAACCATCCCCCCTTTTTCCTTTCCCTCTTTCACACTCACTACCACACTCCTCTGCCTGTCCCTTGACGGCTTTGTGTAACAGCCCTGAGCAGTGCTGTCTATAGTGGGCTTTAGTGTGTCGATTGATTGCCCCACAAACTGGCTGTCTCATATCTTTTGGAGATGGTGTTAAGGTGCAACTGTGCACAAGGAAGCGGATCAGATCGATAAATTGTGCTGACTACACCTGCAGCTGTGGGATCTAAACAAGAGGGTTGTTTTTAGGGCTAGTGGACATCCTGCCTTCATGTTTTTAGCATTCCTTTTCTGTATGGTTCAAGTGAGAAGGCAGGAAATAAGTTTCTACTTGAATACCAACATCAGCCATCAGCAGAGATTTAGTTTATGCAGAGAGACTAAACAAAAGATGTTGATTACACATCTTGAGAGACGTCAGCTGCTTGATGCAGAGCCATTGAGAGATGCAGGAGGAGTAGGCATCCTTAAGAGGAGCAGAGGAGCGTCGTTAAATCCTGCTTCATTCTCCCTTCCATGCATGTGCTTGTCCTATAACATAGACGCTCCCTATGTGATAGTGAGCAGCCAGATTTAATTGTTGTTGTGTTCAATTGTGTGTCTGCCATATTTTCTGGAGTGACAGATAAGTGACATGTTTTTTTCTGATTTTATAGATGTTTTATAGTTGTGGAAACCAAACTGCTTTGATTTGATATTCTGGCACTAAAAGCTGGGGCCAAGTATTGAACGTCGATCGTTTTTTTGTGTCCAAAGAACAAAGTGTCAAAAACTCTCAAATACTGAAAAGCTGGCTTCAAATGCCTGGTGAGATTTGTAATCTTTTTTCTATATTTCCTGAATTAATGTAGCTAGTTTATGGATATTTTATGTTGCCTGTACACCTGCTTGAGTGTAGATAACATGGAACATTTGAGACTTTTGTCTTCATTTGTTAAATCAAAAAAGGGGTTTTGCAGGAAAAAAAAAAGTATATTCTTCAAAGTAAGGTACTAAGAAAAAGTATGATTTAGTTATCTGCACTGAAACGGAGGTGGTGTGACAGCACTAGCATTTCCATAGTTTAAAAGGTATCCAATCTTATTAAAAACATTTGTAAATTAACCTCCAGTCCTGCTTTGTTTATATTGTTATTCCTGCTTTCTCAGCAGCACTGACACATGTGAGCTGTGAGTAAGTATTGGTTCTCGCTGTGAGACATTTGCCACGGAGGCTGTGAGTCACTGGCATTTCTTGTTGACTGAATACCAAATCTGCCTCGTCAATGTAAACAGGTAGACAGTGGGTGATTATGCATGGCCTGCCTGATGGCAGAAAACACAGAAAGAAGAGGAGAGATGAGATGAGATGAGGGTGAAAGAAAGGATGTTCAAGTATAATCATTCAGGAATGTATTTAAATATGCTGGGACAGGGATTCTTCTTGTTCTCAGTAACAACAAGTTTTCTGACAAAGGAACCGGGGGAACAGCAGTCCCACACAAAGTCTCTTGACCCCTGACCTCTTGCTCTACTATGGCCTGTAGACTTTCAACTCGTGATCTCATCCCTGAGGACCTATTACACCGCGCCATCCTGTTTAAATTACACTGGAGTTAAGGCTCTCCATACTTTGTGTTGCTGCTGAAATATACATGCAGCGGAAGTCCCCCACTAAGCTGAAACTCTTTGACCTCATTTTGAGGCTGTGGAAGATGATGTGTTGCATCGTCTTCGATTCTACTAGTCATATTAAACACCTTCAATCCGTTTCACTCAGCTTACATTTGGTCCTCATGCTGCTTTCTTCCTAGATCAATAAAAGCTTCATACAACTAGATTATGTGGTACATGTTCAAGTGAAACACGGCTGACTTTTCATTTCTGAGTGGTTTGCTCTCAAACTGTGGGGGGATGAGTTGTTATGTAACCACGGATGCTATGATCCAAATATAGCAGCCATTAGGGGATTAGCTCCGGGCCCAGCAGGCTTGGCTAGGCTCGGCTTTGCCGTGGCCCCGTATGGATGTCTTTGCCGCTGGTTGGCTCCTGCCCTCCACACCAGTATCCACTGTTATCACGAGAAATTGATGTGCACCAAACCGACAGCAGAGACAACATCTTAGCCGGCCAGTGCATTACACAGACATGCTCCCTCCCATCACCGGAGGAGCATCTATCTGTAGCTTGACTTTGTGGACTTTGTGACTGAAACTTCTAGGACAGTTTGGCTTCACAGCATGTGTTGTCATTATTATTCATTTAAGCTATGTATTTATTATGTATATGTATGACGATTTAACAAATTTGTCGGGTAGAGGTTCTTCCATAATGTTTGTAGGTGACGCAACAATTGTTCTTTTCCATATCAAAGTTGACTTGAGCTGCAACTACTATTTTCATTATCGTTTAGTCTGGTGATTGTTTGTAAAATGTCCTTCATACAGTATTTCCTAACTCTGTAGATGAAGTCTTCAGATGTCTTGTTTACTCTTTATATATATATATTATATACAGTATATATACTTGTTATGGTGTAACATAGCATAGCTATACTATATGTTCTGCAACCCTTTGTAACATTTTCAAAAACGTTTTGTTTTACTCTGTCTGTTAAACTTCTTGCTTATTTTATTTAACAATCGTTTTCCAAATATATATTTTTCTATATCTACCATCATTTTGTCTTTTTTTCAAACTACCTCACAGATTAACTCATATGGTTAGAGTTCTTCCTGTAGAGGCGATCTCATTAATCAACATTAAATTCTATTATTATTTGTACATCTTTTCTTTACTTTTCTTACTCCAACTCAAAGCTTAATGTTGGAGCTCGACTATTCAGCCTTTTAAAGGTCAAAGCATCAGCCCACTTGAATATATACACTGAAGAAGTTTGTGATTCCCTCCGTGTTCGCTGAGGTATTTTAGTCCGAGATACTTGTGTATGTTTTGACGTCGCTGCCTTGTGGTGCAGGCAAACTTGTTCAGCGTGTTGAGTGGGATGTGTTGATTGGACAGTGTTAAGCAGAAGGTGATAAGCAACGTTGTAAGTTGGGGCCAATGATTACACCATCGCCTCTTTTCTCTTCATAGCCACCATTCCGTCTGCCTTCTCAAGTGTGTTTGTACCTTAAATGAAACTTTCAGTTGAGTCCTAATCAGCCCAGTTAATTGGCCTCTTTGGTATCCTCTACTGCTCCCATAACGCAGACAGACTCAGACATGCTTTGTTAAATAAATCAGGCTCAACACAGACTGCAGGTATCCTACAGTGTGCCCTCTTTGACCTTCTTCTGTGTATGGTCTATAAATGCTGAGAGACAACAGGATCAATGACACTCGAGCACACACAGGATGAAATATTTAACAGGATGATGAATATTTCAGTGGCAGGTGCGTAGTTTCGAGGGAAAGATTAATATCCTTGCAGACAGACTGCTAAATATACACCCAGAGGGAAAACACAGCAGTGAAGGCATTGTGTCTCCTCACCGTTTGTTTCTCACATCTTTGTTTTCCTCTCCGAGCATCATCAGCCGTCTTTGTCCCAAGTCTTTTTTCAATGATCATCCCCCTTCTTTTTTGTTTCTTTCCTTTCCATGAGAACTGGGTTTGTCTAAAACTTGAGTCTTGAAATGTCAACAATGGAGGGTATTAGCCGGTGTATGTGCTGATGGGCTCTCCACCTGAATGGTCCATTGTGTCTTGAGGCGCTGACCTCAGACCTCCACTGTTGTGTGAAGGCCCACTGACAGAGAAACAACAATCTTCTGCAGACTGTTTTGGTCATTGTGTAAGGATTACAGATACTAGAACTCAAAAGCACAACTCGGAGACAAGATACAAGTTTAGTTATTTTACTTGAGTTCAGGCAGGGTCAAAACCGGGAGGTCAGTCGAACAGGTGAACAAATCCAATAAGAGGCAGGCACAAATCCAAGGTCGAAAACAGGCAGACAGAGTCGGAACAGGCAGATCATGAACAAAATAAAGATACGCTGGAGAACTTGGCAATAACACACAAGACAAACTGGCAGGGAACCTAAATAGTGAGGGCTAATGAGGGAATGGGCTGCAGGTGAGATGGGTGTGGAGGACCAGGTGAGGGGAACGAGAGATGATCGGGTGTGAATGGTAGGATCTGAAATGACAGGAGAGTTAGTAAAATAAGCAGACAGGATGAAAACAAACTAATATGAACTGGAATTCGTGACACATTGTGAATTATATGTTGAAGAAATGACAAATCATAGAGACAGAGTACTCTCATGAAACAGATTAAGTGAGTTCAGCTGATTCATTTTCATACTAGACGTTTGCTATTTTTATCTTGGTTGATAATCTCATTGTCAGTTAATAGGATGCAGCTGTTGCGAGCAAAACTGATTTATGATCTTTTCGACCTGAAATTAGTTGCTGTGTGCATCTTTAGAGCGACTGAAATGAGGTCGTTACTTGTCTGATTAGAAGATACTGAGGCCTTAATGTGCCCTTCTTCGTTTCTTGAGTTGAAAATACAGCTTGGATTATTCTAGAAGAGACATCATTTTCTCACTCATTTTGTGAGTTTCCCTGTTTCTCCTCCTCTTTATCTCCAGCTGATCTCCGTGGTGCCCGCCACCTCCTCACTTCCCAGCATTCCTTGCCTGGGATCCCGGTGGCCTTGAAACAATCCATTGACCTGCGTACATCCATGGACGGGAAGTACAAGGAGATTGCTGAGGTCAGTACTCCGTGAATTATTAACCTAAAAGATAATAATAATAATAATAATACGTTTTATTTATATAGCGCTTTTCAAAATTCTTTACAAACATTAAAATCATCATAAAAAAGCTAAGCACATTCATCACACATTAAAAGCAGTTCTGTAAAGGTGGGTTTTGATTTGTGATTTGAATATTAAAGATTTACTTTAAAATGACTTGTGGCTAGATGTGTAGACTTTCATAATGTTGTTTACTGTCTCTGTGAAGGAGCTGTTCTCGCGCACTCTGGCAGAGAGTGAGATGCGCAGCGCCCCTTATGAGTTTCCAGAAGACAGCCCCATAGAACAGCTGGAGGAGAGACGTCATCGCCTTGAGCGACAGATCAGCCAGGATGTGAAGTAAGTGAATACAAGGAGGTTGTTAGTTAATATACCAACATCTGTGGATGTATTTGCAACGAGACTCTGCTCTAATGATCCGAAAGCTAACAACGACGAGCCTCTCTGTTCTCAGGTTTGAACCCGACATCCTCCTGCGAGCCAAACAGGAGTTCATGAAGACTGACAGTGCCAGTGATCTCGAGTGAGTATTTTCCCTGGCTATAGGCAACAGTTGTGTCATTATGCATTGAATACTTAACAGAAAGTACCAGAATAGAAAATAGTTTAAGTAGTTTTTTTGTTAATCTCTTATCAGATACATGAAAGAGCAGAGCCAAGCTTTTGACCTGGAGAGACAACCGGTTCCAGAGAGAGAGTACCAGCGAGTCGCTATTTCTGGAGAGGAGAAATGTGGGGTAAGTCAGAGTACCAGTGATGTAGGGACGATTGGAAAAGAAAGTATGTCTTACTGGCACGCTGTGGTGTTTCTCACAATTAAGTAACACCTCCTCTCTGAAAAGGACACCTTCTTTTTTTCCTTTTCTCTCAACTTGATTCCTTTTCATCCTATTGTTCTTCTATCAAGGTTCCCTTCACAGATCTGTTGGATGCAGCCAAATGTGTGGTGAAGGCTCTGTTCATCAGACAGAAGTATATGGGTCTGTCGCTGCAGAGTTTCTGCGTCACCACCGCTCGTTGCCTTCAGGAGCTGAGTGAAAGACCTCTGGACTTGGATATCTATGAGGAGGAGATCCCAGAGACCTCAGCCACTGCAGGTGTGTATACACATGTGCACATGTACACCACCATCCTCATATACTGGGCACAAAAAATCATTCATCACTTAATAAATAGGAGGCCCTGATTTGTGCTGAAACGATAAGTCAATCAAATTATTCAAAAAATATTCTCCAACAACTATGATAATTGATTAATCATAAAGTATTTATGTAATTCATAATTTTGTCGTTCCAGCTTTTTATATTTGAGGATTTTCTGCTTTTGTTTGTTGTTGTTGTATCATTGCAAGTTGTATATTTTGGGTTTCTGAGATATTAAAAATGTTTTAAAATTCTGAGATTCCTTGAGCTCTGGAACTTTGTGTTGGGCACCTTTAATGCCATTTCCTTACATTCAATAACACAATAATAATATAAGTTCATTTTTATAGTCCAAAATCACAAATTTGCCTCAAACTGTTCTGTATAAGACATCCTCTGTCCTCAGACCCTCAATGCGAATGAGGAAAACTCATTCGCAAACAAATTGAGGAGGGATCCCTCCTCCAAGACAGACAGACAAGCAATAGATATCATATCTGTAGACAAAAACAGCAGCAAAATTGATTGATTGAACTCAAAACAACAGTCAACACCCCTCCCAGTATAACCTACGGTGGCCTTCGGGAACCGTAAAAACGCAAAAGGCCCTCTCCAGAGCCGGTGTCTGGTTTGTCCGTTCTGAGCAGCAGTCGAAACATGACGGTGCAACATTGTGGACTATATGGAGAGAGCCTGTTCCCTATGTAGATACGAAGGGCTCATTCTAAGCTAACATAAAAACACATTGATTCTTAGTTTCAGGTGATTATACACCAGTGAAAACATAGTTATGAATATGATATTCCATTTCTGCCAATCGATCCCCCGAAGTCCTACATACTGGTTCTTAAATATGGGAATACAAGTCATGTCCAGTGTTGTGTGCCGTACTCTCATATTAAGATCTAATCTGGCACACCCACAGATTTCATAATCCATCTGTCCACCTCCACCTCTTACCAAGCTGTCACAACGTGCAGGCTGTTTAAATCGGACCTTAGTTGCATGTGCATTCCCACTTCGTTCAGAGCCGTGACACAGTGCGCCATTCTGTTTCCTCTCAGATGCCACAGTGCACCCATCTGCTTCTGAAACGCACCCCTATGAGAACCAGGACCCTGCCAGCATGCCCCATGACATTGGTTACGGCTGCAAGATGGTGGATGGTGTCATGCATGTGTACACGACGAGGAACATTATGGAGAAGTGAGATATTTATGAGGACTCACTCGCATGCTTTATGTTGTAGTCCTCGATGTGGTTGGATGTTTTTAGACTTGCACCTTTATTTGTTGGTAGCGGAGACTTTCCTGCTTAAGTTTTGATGTTGCCAACAGGAGCACAGAGCTGGACCTGCCGTATCCAGACCTGCAGGAGTATATCGCTGATATGAACGTGATGATGGCCCTCATTATCAACGGACCAGTGTACGCTTCCTTATGATTGATCACAGAACAGTGTGTATTGATGTTAGATTGTTTTTTTTTTTTAATGATGATACTTGATTAATTGTTTATCACAAGACTTTCTGGTCTCTGTACTTTTTGAACCATCTGAACCACATTTTCAATCTCTCTCAGAAAGTACCAACTACTTGTTTTTGTTTCCCTGTGCTACAGAAAGTCCTTCTGCTACCGTCGTCTGCAGTATCTTAGCTCCAAGTTCCAGATGCACATTCTGCTGAATGAGATGAAAGAGTTGGCAGCACAGAAAAAAGTCCCACATCGCGACTTTTACAATATCCGTAAGGTGAACTTGGCGGCTGTTTCTACTGAGCCTAACCAAAATTGTTTATCGAGAACCAGACTCCAATATATAACTTCTTTGTCTCATTTATGTTTTTACAGGTGGACACACACATTCACGCTTCATCCTGCATGAACCAGAAGCACCTTCTGCGTTTTATCAAAAGGGCAATGAAGAAGTACCCTAAGGAGATTGTGCATGTAGAAAGAGGCAAGGGTCAGACGCTCATGGAGGTGTTTGAGACCATGAACCTGACCGCCTTTGACCTGAGCGTGGACACCCTGGACATGCACGCAGTGAGTAACAGCCATGATGGACAGACAAAAAGATAATCGGTGGTTAAAAAACTGGACCAGAATGTTAAAAAGACGAATGTTGAACAAGACAACAGCATCAGATCATGACTATTTGAATTACAGTGTTTCAACTCTTCTTGCAGGACCGTAACACTTTTCATCGCTTTGACAAGTTCAATGCCAAATACAACCCCATTGGCGAGTCCATCCTGAGAGAGATCTTCATCAAAACAGACAACCACATCGAGGGGAAATACTTTGGCCACATTGTTAAGGTGCTCACTTGCTCTTTAAAAAATGCCGTTACCACTGTTAACTGCAGAACGAGTGCATGAGACACTGGCGCCATCTGCTGATTGATTGTGTCACTGCTTTTCAGGAGGTGATGGCAGACCTGGAGGAGAGCAAGTACCAGAACGTGGAGCTCAGGCTGTCGATCTACGGACGCTGCAGGGACGAGTGGGACAAACTGGCCAAGTGGGCTGTAACGCATCAGGTCTACTCCGGGAATGTGCGCTGGCTTGTGCAAGTGCCAAGACTCTTGTGAGTCGCTAAGCATCATTGAAATATCTGCAGCATACGTAAGTAAATTTCATCAACACAACCATCAGTCACTTCTTCGTTTGCATTTCTCTCTCAAAGTGACGTCTACCACACGAAGAAACAGCTGTGCAACTTCCAAGAGATGTTGGAGAATGTCTTCGTGCCTCTGTTTGAGGTTACAGTGAACCCCCGCAGCCATCCAGAGCTGCACCTCTTCCTTCAGCACGTATGAAATCTTTGCTGTAATCTCATAAATTTATATTATTCACATGTCGCCAGAACTCAAAGGGTTTCATGGATCTCTTGTCGGTTCCTCACACAGGTTGTGGGTTTTGACAGTGTGGATGATGAATCGAAACCAGAGCAACATATCTTCAACCTGGACAGTCCGCTGCCGGTCAACTGGACAGAGGAGGACAACCCGCCCTACTCCTACTACCTCTACTATATGTATGCAAACATGACCGTGCTCAATCACCTGCGCAGGTACATAATCTACTTTTCATTTTTTCATTTTTTTGTTTTATAATGTGTTAAATATCCAAGATAAATTGCAGTTTATATGCAAATAATAATGGAGCAACAACTTTTGAAATGTCAGTTTTTCTTTCTTTTCCTTCCAGCTACAAAACACAATACATAACAACAGAATTATTTGAGAATGAGGGAATATTTTGCATGTAAATATTTTGGAATGGAATAGATTGACTAACCTTATGACATTAACTATTAATTACAGGACTAACTTATGAAGGATTTAATTTTGAATGCATCCTGAACTGATTTGATAGCAAATTGTCTCAACTCCACCTACTCATTGAAAACAGAATACAAAAACCTTCATAACAAGTAAAATGAATAAATGTATGTGTGTAGATTGTAGTACAGGGTAACAAACAACAAAATAAACTCTTATACGAGACAAATGTTCATCTATGCAGACCATACTTTGCCTGATTGTTTACACCTCAAACAAAGCTGAAATCTGTTGTCTCCCTTTAATCCGCTGAAGTCACCTTCAGGTCTCTGTGTCTATTGTGTTCCAGGCAGCGAGGGTTCCCCACGCTCGTCCTGCGTCCTCATTGTGGGGAGGCGGGGCCGATCCATCACCTGGTGTCTGGTTTCATGCTGTCAGAGAACATCTCCCATGGGCTGCTGCTCAGGAAGGTGTGGCCTCAATATCACAACTCTAATCAGAGTTTATTATTCCAAGAGTTTGTGAGGAATTTATGACTCTAATAATAGATAATCTAACTGTTTGTTCAGCTGAGTAATACTTGAGTTTTAATGTTACTTCCTTAAAGGCTCATGGAAAATTAGGGCTGTGGTATGAATCTACTCCTAGAGCATTGATTGTTTATTACAGCACACTTTATGCCTTATGGTCCTCCAGGCTCCTGTGCTGCAGTATCTGTACTACTTGGCCCAGATAGGTATCGCCATGTCCCCTCTCAGCAATAACAGCCTGTTCCTCAGCTACCATCGCAACCCTCTACCAGAGTACCTGTCCAGAGGCCTCGTGGTCTCTCTGTCCACGGACGACCCTCTGCAGTTTCACTTCACCAAGGTCAGTGTGCGCCAGTCAATGATTTTTATTAGATGGACAAAAAGCAATATCAAGCACTTTAAATTAAAGTTATAATTCTCAGTATTTGTATGATATCACACCCAATTTTTTTAAACAACTTATTGCCAGCATTGAATTAGATACATTGAATGTATCTAATTGCTTCTCTAAATGGTAGTTTACATTGTAACTGGCAGAGTCTGCTTTCGAACACACGGGAAATTCACAGAAAATGATGAACATGTCCAGGATTAAAGCTGCTGAATGCACATATTTCTTATCTTGCAGAGGACAACATTTGATCATAGGTTTAGCGTTATGACATCTGAAGACCCTGTTGACTGTCTTCTTAATAAAACCATGTCAGATGATGAATCCTCTTAGCCCCCAGTTGGGCTTCTGGTTTGACTTCTGGCCACTCCAGGTGTCTTTCATTCCACGAGTGGTCAATACACATCTTATTTGAGACAGAATTTCTGGGACCACGTCATTAAAATGCACTTGCTGTTATCACAACTATCTAAAGATGTAATCCAAAAATGTCAAAAAAAACGGTATGGCCGACCTGCAGTAATACATTTAGACTGTTCAGTTGCAAGACAAATAGTATGTTGTAATTTACTTTTTAAACTCCCCCATACCTATGTTTACTAAAATTAGGTTATTTACAGGTTTTAATGAAAATGCTACATTGTATAAGATGGTCAAGGAGCCGTGTATGACTTAAAGTGATATTTATTCTGTGCTGTGTAGGAGCCCTTGATGGAGGAGTACAGCATTGCTGCTCAGGTGTGGAAACTAAGCTCCTGCGACATGTGTGAGCTTGCCAGAAACAGTGTGCTGATGAGCGGATTCTCTCAAAGGGTAATTATCTTTATAGCACAAAACATGTTATCCAGTTTTACTGTCTATAACTACAAAACTCCCTCCTCAGTCTATTGTTCTGCAGACAATATGTTTAATTCCGCTCCTCTCCTGTATCAGGTGAAGAGATCCTGGCTCGGCCCACATCACAACAAGGAAGGGCAGGAGAGTAATGACATCAGGCGCACCAACGTTCCTGACATCCGTGTGGGGTACCGGTATGAGACCATGTGTGAGGAGTTGAATTTAATCACACAGGCCATTCGCACAGACGAGCTGGATACCATCGAGGAAGAGGGGAGTCTGTGTATGGGAGCTGGGCAGGGAGAGAAGTGAAGAGGCACTACAACACAAACACTCTCGACATTCCCTGTTCTCACATCAGGACTTTGTAAAGATTTGCATATCGACATATCACACCTGTGAAAAGAGAAAAGCTTTTACACAAGGCAATTTTGAGAATTGCTACTGTGGCAGTATGAGAGAGGACCTATAATCTGTGCACCCAAGGTGTTTACTTCCTTTAGTTTCTTGCGTCAATCTTTGTGTAATTTGTCATGTCAATTTCACGTTGTCTCTTGATGTATTTATTTTTAAATAATAAGATATTCGTGGTTTGAGACTACATTTTGTCAGAGTTTCTGTACAGAGTCTGTATTTCCTGTACCAAGCATTTAATAATATTGACATTCAAGATTCAACCCTTTAATAATACTTAAAAACTTGATACTACACTGACCGACTAAAGCAGGAAGACGACCTGGAACAATTTTTCAAAGTAAAGAGTCTCTAACTATACGTACAGGGCTGTAGCTACCATTGAGGACACTGAGGTCATGCACTTGGTATCATTTCAGGACATTTTGAAGGTTTTAGTGACCATGGGGGAGGTTACTTTCTCAAGTTAAAAACGGGTGGAAAAAAAATCCGATTCACATATTTATAGACTCCAATCTATTTCGAAGTGTGGAGAAGGTTTTGAAACCTCGCACTGCATGATTTTTTGTTTGTAAGGTTGACATTTTCGAGTGTTATTATCCACAGCACAATAACTTCTGCTGTATATCTGGCAGAGAAATCTACATCTTCTGTCTTCCTTCTACTGGTAATGATGACATATTTCCCACAGCTGTTTCGCGTCATATGGTTGTTGGGCTTATTTTTACAGTCCTTACAGTTATCCAGTAGAGCTGCATGTGTGCTCCTCAATATTTGTTTCTGGTGTGCAGTAATGCTACTCAGTTGTAGCATCTTATTATACTAACTCTTATTTAATGATTGTTTCAGTCTGAACAGTAACTCTGTCCTTTACACACAGATATTAAAAATACATACATTTCCAAATCAGTGAATGACGCATGATCTGTTCCTTCAGTTTTTCCTCTTTGCACAAAATTGCCAAGTTGATGAAAAACATTTTTTGGGAACTGAAAGTCGACTAACTTGACACACCCTTTTCAAACTCCTGCCTTAAGTCTGGGTCTTGATGTTGTCTCTGGGGTTTCTTGTTGCTATTCAAAAGCCCTAAGTGCCCCTCCAAGCGAACTGTATGTGCTGTTTGTGAAATATAATTTAATTGCATTTGTGTCTAAGAAAAATAAATGTTCATATTGGGGTGCTTGACTCGCTGTCGTTTTTACATCCCAGAAAGCAAATGATATATAATAGTTTAAACTATACTACATAGTTTGTCAGCAAACATCTTTAAAAGTGAGGTGTTTTTTGTTTATACGAGTGCTGGGCGGGGGATCGTATCGCCTTACCCCTATTATCCGCTTGCAGTGTGCACTCGTATCACTTGAATGTGCCTGTTTTTATTATTTGCAGAGGGTGAGGCATTACGTGAGACTATATGAAACGATCCATTTAGCTGATATTGTGTTTCAAAAATGAAATGGTCTATTGTTGAAAGAATAGTATTCCATAAAAGTGTCATATGTCGTATAGTATGTCGAAAAAAAGTCATATTGTTGTAGAAAGTCTTTAAAAAGTTTACTTTTTATGATTTTTTTTAGACATACTATAGTATGTCTAAAAAAGGGTTAGGGTCATTTCATGGTATGTGAAAAAAAATCCTAGCATGTCGATAAAAATCATAAGTCATAGTATCATGTGCTGTAAAAGGTTTTTGAAAAGTCATTGTATTGTAAGTTGAAAAAATTCATAGTATAGTATGACGATAAAAATCATAAAAAGCCATAGTATGTTATGTCTAAAAAAGTCATAGTATAGTACGTATGTAGAACAAAGTCATAGTATAGTATGACGATAAAAATCAAAAAAAAGTCATTGGATAGTATGTCAATAAAAGTCCTAGACTTTTTATGATTTGACGCAAGATGGGTAAGTGTCAGGAGACCATGATCTATACAGTATGTCAAAAAAAGTCACAATAAAGTCATAATCTTGCCGAGTGGAGTGATTCACCTGTCTCTGCACAGGGGAGGAGTTAAGAGAAGGAGAGGTTATTTTAGCGTGTGATCTGTTCCCTTTGTCTGTGCCGCCATGCCAGTACATTTGTTTGGACAAGTCTCCTAGTTTGACATCATGCTGACACAGCAGTATGTTTGTTTGTACTTATGATTTATATTCTTATAAGTTATGACTACATACCATGCATCCTGATTTAATGTGTTTGTGACTTCCTGTCAGATCCTGATACATTGTTTTGGAGCTGGGTGTTATGGGCTACTCACCTTTGTGAAAGTCAAACCCAGTAAGTAAGGCAAGCTGTATTATTTTGAAGAAAGTGGTTTAGTTTAGATTATTAAGGCTTTTTTCAGCTGTATCACCCAGATTATAGTGTGCAGTTGCTTTTATCTGTCATTATGTGTAAATACACTTAATATGTATGTCCATTGTAATAATAAAGGTATGAAACTTCAATGTTTCTTGTCACTGAATAATAACAATCAAACAAGTGTTTGCAGTTTAGTACTCAGGCATGACATTTACGTGATATAGGCAAGAACTCTTGTTAACATACAATAGCTTTACTCTTTTACTACCATGAGGAACTTCTACTACCTCAGCAAATGAATGCTGTTGAGAACTTTACTTTAAATGCAGATTAGATATTTATTGCAGGATATATTAGCAGGGGCACAGCTACAGCTCACATAAAATAATACTATACTTGATTCGATCAGGTTACAATTTCTTCTCAGGTTATACTCATTAATTGTCGATGCCGAGGCGGCTCGGTGGAGCTGGATTCATGATGTAATACAAAGTGCTTTTGGGGTTTTTAGGAGCGAAGGTCCGGCAGAACCTTCAGCTCCTCCTGCGAGGCCAACGAAGTCCGTTCAGCGCTCCCTCAGACTCAGTACAAAGTCTTTGGGGCGGCTGCGTCCATCTGTTGTCCGGTTGTTAAAGTCAATCTTTCAATCTTTGTCGTGGAACGGCTGTCTTCTTTCCGTGAACAGAGACGAAGTCCTCCTGCGGTTGTTGAGCGAGGTCCAGTGTTTCTCCGTGGAGCACTTGGGTGGCTCCCGCGTTGAATCCCGTCTTGCTATCTGCAAGTCTCTCTTTTTATAATCTTTGAGCTCTCTCTCCTCCCTCCTCCCCAACGCTCCCTCACTCGGTATGTGATTTACATGACATCATTGATCATGTGTGTGCGAACAACACCCTAACTTTCTGTGTGTGGATGCTCTCACTTCCTTCATTTTCGAGCGTGTTTCAGGTTACACCCGTGGATATGTTCGGACATCACCCCAACATCTGTTATGATCTCATCCTTTAAGGTCCCCACCCTGCTTACATCAGCTCTTTCTACCCACACACAGACTTCACTTTTACTCAGTTACACATACATTGTTATTAGCAGTTTACATTTGTTAAATCACTTCATTATTCTTATGTTATACATACTTGCTTTAAAATACTAGATTGCATCCTTACTCATTATATGCTTTGTGTCCCTTTATCTTACTTCCATATCGAACTGTATTCCTTCATTTAAGGCAGCTTTCCTGGGATCTCAACCCTCTTTTTTGACATAGTATATCATCATACTAACTCTTATTTTATGACTCTGATCTGTCCTTTACACACAGATATTTAAAATATAGAGTCGACTAAGTTCACAAACCCTTTTTTAAACTCCTGCCTTCAGTCTGGGTCTTGATGTTATCTCTGGGGGTGTACTGTTACAATGCACAATCACTATGTGTCCCTCCCCAGAGAACTATGTGTGCTGTTTGTAAAGTGGTATGTGGCCTTTGTGTCTAACAAAAAGAAATGTATACATTGGAGCACTTGACTTGCTGCCATTTTTACATCCCAGAAAGCAAATAATAACAGTATGATGAATGTATCTAGACAAATAAGGTCTGTTTTATTAGTAAATAGTTTTTTTTGTTGTCAGCCGTCTAGGAGTGACTAAAGGGCATGAAACAAAGAGTGCATTGTGTGGCGTGTCCATAATCCTATTCAGCTCATTACGCTCCACTCTGGGTCAAAGTTAGCAGGAAATCCAACACAACATTCAGACCATCTACAAACCTACTACATTAAAGGATTGAGGTGTGGCTGCAAAAAATAAATTCCTATCGATCACACACATTGTACCGTAAACCTTATAATATGACTGCATTTAGGGATTTTGTGTGTCTGGTAGTGTTAAAACGATTGTCAGTTAACTGATCTACTGAAAAGTAATAGATGATATTTCTAACAATGAATTGCTTGAGTCATTTGTCAACTGAAAATAAGCATTAGTAAATGTGCAAGAATTTCTGTAATTGTATCATTGAAAATTAAATTAGTTTTAGTATTTATAAGACTGAGTAGGCATATTCACCTCACTTTAGGCTCAGTTGTCATTATTTAGCATTTTTCTCACTACACAATCAAAACATGATTGATAAGTATATTGATAACAAAAATAGCCCTTATATAGCCACTGGTACCTGTTTGTTAGAACAATCCCAAATCACTTACCAGCTCCTTCCAGAGCTTCCAACAGTGTCACTCTTGAAAAAGCGCTATTGATTAAAAAAAAAAAAAATGAACTACCGAGCTTGCCTTGAAGAGACAGCTGAGCAAATCTGCTGAAGAATACCATGTGAGACTTTTAAAAGCTCCGGAAAAAAAAGCTCGTAACTGGAACTTCAGTTGGTGAACTTTCATCTTTCCCCTATCACCTTTCGTGTGGAGGCCAATGATTGCACAAAAGCCCCCCATGAAGAAACTCTTTTGAATGCAGGTGATGCATGGCGTTATTTTAAAAGCTGTTACAGTCTTGCAGTGACATTAGCTTGTGGCTTGTTTGGACTTGTCTTTGGATGCATGGTCATGTCAGATGGATATGTCGGTTTGAGCAGCTGCAGAGCGCATTCATATTCACAGACCATGAACATGTACAATAGTTGTGGAAACAAAGAACCGGTTTGCAGAAACTGCCTACACACGAGGCTGCATTCACGTGAAGAATCTGAATCCCGCTTGGAGCAGGTCTAAACCCTCAAACACGTGACCCGTCAGGTCTACGCCGCCCACCTCGCGCTTCTGTCCTCTCACACAAAGAAACCAGCCCACCCCTCCGTTTAAAGCAGCTGCACGAGTCGCTGTCAGCCACATTTGGTCCCTACTAGTGATTCAACATGACGATGAAGCTGTCGTACTGGGATATTCGTGGGGTGAGTGTCTGTCTTCTTCTTTGTTTATAAAGTAGCCCCCGGTGTGTGCAGCGCTGTGGGTTAAATGTAACGTAACTACGATGGAGGCGGGCGGCGCGTTGTGCACTTGCTCAAACTGTCGCTAACAATGAAGCCAAAGTTGCATCTGAAGAGCTAGCATTAGCTACGATGCTAGTTGTGCGGTTGTAACTGATCCGGCGCTCAGACAATGGAGCTGCTCTGCCTGTATGACCAGTTCAATGAAACGGCGGTTAAGGTCGTAACACTTGATGGGAAATGTAATGGGGGGGATAAATCAATGCACGTGCTAACGTTAGATAACAAACTGTAACATCGTCAGATGTCTATATCCATTGAAGTAGTTCTGTTCTTTTTAACTTTTTTATGGTCAGTGCCTGGAGTTGCATTGAAATAGCTTGATTTGATAAGCTGCGTATGTTTTATTAAAGCTTTAAACCTCAATGATTCTATTGTATCGCACAACAAAGAGAAACTTGACATTTGAGAGTCTGCTGCAAATGTTTTGTAGTTTTACCTGATAAAACCACAGATTTATGTGGTTTTTTTTTTAACATACTTATTGATTGTCACCTATATTTATTTAGAATGACTAACTATAATCGATTAATTGGCTAATAGGTTAATGAATTAAGATGTTTTTTTTTTTTTTGTGAATCTTAAAGCTCTATGTGTTTAATCTCTGATTTTTGTCCACTCATGAAGCTCGCCCAGCCTGCCCGTCTGCTGCTGGAGTACACTGGTTCCAAGTATGAGAACAAGTTGTACGTCTGTGGCGAAGGTAACTTACCAATTCAACTAACGGTTGTCAGAATTTTAACCAAAATAGTGACTTAAGTGTCCGTTAACCCCTAACCCACATTATTCTCTCTCACAGCTCCCGGCTATGACAAGAAGTCCTGGTTGGATGTAAAAGATAAACTTGGAATGGAGTTTCCCAATGTAAGCGAGTTTAACTTTTGAGTATTAATTGAAGTGTAAATCTGGCAAACACAAACTAATAATGTTAACATCTCACCATAGCTGCCCTACTTGGAGGATGGAGACCGGAAGATAGTGCAGAGCAATGCTATCATGAGATACATTGCTCGTAAGCACAAGTTGTGTAAGTATTGTGTTTATTCCACATATCTATTTTGAACAACATATTTATGTTTTTTGTTTCATGTCCATTTCCATTGATCCGTTGTAAATGTTTCAAAATATATTATATTATTTCTCGTGGTCTCCTTTTTAAAAGGAACCACACAATTATACACTCTTCAGGTGTAGCATCTCGGTCTTCATTCTCCGAGTGCCTCACTAAATCTGCTCTGATCACAGGTGGAAAGGGAGAAGATGCGAAAGTCCGTGTGGACATGATGGAGAACCAGGCGATGGACTTCAGAAACGGCTTTGTGAGGCTGTGCTACTCTGACTTTGTGAGTACGACATTAAAAACGCTTAAGGACGCTGAATGTGTCACTTTACTCCTCTGAGCCTCCACTAATGCCAACGTCACCTCTCTGAAATCAGGACACGCTGAAGCCAGACTACCTGAAGACTCTGCCAGGTGTACTGAAGCAGTTCTCAGATTTCTTGGGGGAAAATAAGTGGTTTGCTGGTGAAGAGGTATGTCAGTCAGCCATTAAACGTGTTCTTTATGTTAGGTTGTGGTACAGTCATTTTTACGGATCATAGAGCTGAGGGACAACTGCAGAGTTGGGTGACGGATGTAAAGGGAAAGTTCATAGTGAAACACACTCAAGTCATTTGACTCTTTGATCAGATAAAACGATATATTTTTGCGGCTATAAAGTCTCTGGTTTGAGCCTTTATTTTGCTTTTTTAACATGTTTGTGAACGATAACTTTTCTTTACAACAGATCACTTTTGTAGACTTCATCCTATACGAGCTGTTGGATCAACACAGGATGTGTTTTCCTGAGTGCCTGGATGACTTCAAGAACCTCAAAGCTCTTGTAGACAATTTTGAGGTGAGAACATGTTTGTTAGTTAGATACAAACGGCACATCCAACACTTACCACGGAAAGTTTCAGTCAGGAAATATGCACTCTAGCACTTATTGTTTATCTTTCTTTGTGTTGCTGTGGTAGTCTCTGTGAGGTAAATGTTGTATATGTGGATATATATATATATATATATATATATATATATTTTTTTTTTTAATGCCTTGGTACGTTATCATGTCATCATAGGCTCTTGAGAAGATTGCTGCCTACATGAAGTCAGACGGATTCATAAAGACTCCCGTCAACAACAGGATGGCCAAGTGGGGAAACAAGAAGGAGTAGAAGGCGATGACGCCTTAGAGAAACAACAATGTTCACAAGTGCAACTGTCTCAGTAACTCATAAATTGAAGACCAGTGAAAAGATTGTTTGTTGGATGTCTTTTTTGAATAAGCTGTTTACTAGCTGGATATGCAGGTTTCAAGTCCTTTAATCAGGTTTTACACTTTCCCAAACATTAACGTTCCTGTTATGAGAACCATTTTCAGTTGAATCAGAATTGTGTAAAAAGAAACCAAAGTTTAATTTGAGTTAAAGCACTTAATTTACTAGTCACAATGTGATAGAATTTGTTTTTGTTGGATTAAAGTGAAATGTTTGACTTTCTTTCATTTTGTGATTCATTTTAACTTCACCTTCATAGCAGCATTCACAGCATCGAAGCATCAATTTATAACATATAAATTAAGATATAACATAGGGTACAAGTTAAACATAATTTTGATCATTTTTAACCTGGACGTAGTTTCCCACAACTCATTTTTAGAATTGGTCGAGTATTGAGGAAGAGCACTGCAGAGAGCAGCCTCTCGCATGCTGCAATGTAATCCTATCCGAGCAAGCTGTTCTCCACTAAAAGTGCTTTAGTTTGCCATTGACGCGTTCTGATTGTTATAAAGTGTGACAACATTATAGAAAGGGTCTCACTCAAGGAGTAGTCCTGTTCTGAAATCTCACATGGTGACGTGTTGCCAGAAGACAACGACGAAAACAAGGTGACAATCCTTAGACTTGGACACAATAATAAACAGACCAGACCAAGAAAAGCAAGGGAACATCTTTTTGTTTTTTTTTAAACATTTCTAATAATCTGAGCCTGTCCGTTGCAAAAACAAGCACTGTTAGTGGACCTCGCGTAACACTGACGCTGAACAATTGCCCTCTCATTGCTCTTTTTTAGCGGCTGTCGGTTACTGTTATCCTTCAATACAGGACCAGTTATTTTAAAAAAAAATGGTCCCATTGGTTACTTACACACAACATGGGAACATAAAGGCACGGTTGAAAAATACCTAAGTTACCCGTGAATGCACTGTATATTTACAGTATAACTTTGTTACATGCAGCTGCTAAAGAAGAAACATGGACGGTGTTGAATTGAGCAAATGTCTACATGAATATTTTGGTTTACTCAGTTAGGAAAACTGCTAAATTTACTTGAAATAACAAAGTACATTATAAGTAAATTGCCGTAATTGATTTGAGTAACTCAATTATTGCTGCTGGTGATAAACTATACAAGTTTCATTTAGTAAAAGTGCTTTCCCTTAAATAACAATTGCTAAAAGCAGAGAATGTATGACTAAATGATGAATTAGACACAATAATTCCAGTTGTTCTGTGGATGAAGTCAGGAGAAAACCAACTGAAGCATCTGGTTCGTTAGTAGTGGCCGTTGTACAGGCCTGATGGTTCACTGGCGAGCTGTAGGAGACAGGATCAGACATTACTGATGTGCTGCAGCTGGATGTTAGGGTGTGCGTATCACTTGACACATTACTTACTGCAATGGCTGATTTAATGGCCTGCAGCTGGAAGAAGACCTTGCCTCCTTCCTCGGGACACACCGTCCTAATATCATCCTTGCTCATCCCCAGAAGCAGTTTACCATTCAGCACCCCGAGGCTGGTCGCAGTGCTGCCGATGAAAACACACAGAATATATGACTTCAGCATGCTACACAAGTCTTATTTACAGTACAAACATGTTAAAGCTCCCAGCCAGTCTGTGCATTACTTCACTCACATTTTGGAGAAACCTTTGTACTCCAGCCAGGCTTTGACCTCTGTGGGTGGGGACGTCATATCCAGAGTCACAGGACCGCGAGTGTCCCGCTGTTAGGGAGAGAGAATGACGGGAGGGAATGAAGTCACATGAGAAATATTGGTTCCTCAGCAGAGCTACGTGTCACTGAGCTCACCGGTAGGTCTTCCATGGGCCCCTCGTTCTTCATCGGCTCCAGAACATTCTGAGGAACGTGGCCTTCCTCGTCGCGGGCGTTGCGAACAACCCACCATTGCTTGGATTTCTGAACCACCTGTAAAAAGCCCAAAGAACCAAACATCTCACGCACCTGAATGTTGATACTGGCATTAATGATTGTGACTGCTGTAAATATACAAACAGCTTTATCAAAATTTGACTGACGACAAGGCTGTATCTAGAGTAATGTAGTACAATATTTTAGTTTATAAAGTAGTTTACATTCTTAAACAACTTCAGATACACATTAATGCAGCAGTAATATTAATCCTTAAACATCATATATAATAGTAAAAAAGGAATATTTTCCTGCAGAATGAGTAAATTTACTTTTGATCCATTAATGTAATTTTGCTGATTCACTTTGGAGAATGGTTGGGTTACCATCCCATGACACAGATGTCAGTGGGGGTGGGTGCCAAAAACCAAATCCAACTCCAGTTCCAGTAACTTTGGACTGTTTGAGGCAGATCAATTTTCAGGCACTACAATAAACTGCTCACAATTTATTTTATCTACAACCACAGGCAATCTTCGCATTGTGTTGGACAAGACAAGGATTTGTACCTTTATTACCATATTTCTCATCTCACCTGAACAACATCACCCTTCATAATGCTCAACTCTCGGTTGTTCCTGGCCATGAAGTTGTAAATGACCCGCATGTGAAGAGCTGGCTCACGAGGGCCGGGTGGGAACCGCTGGCTGCTGCTCCTGCTCAACGGACCGTTCTGATAAGGGAGCGAGGAAGGCATGCGTGAGGGGGCAGGCGGCTGCCAGCCATCGTAGAACTCTGGGATGTAAAGTGGGACATCATCGTCCGGCCATCTAGATCTACGAGGTGATAGGAGGGGAGGAAACTGTCAGTCAAGTTACAAAAAAGAATGCAGGATCTAATGCTCAAGTGACCTCTTTACTTGACTTCATGCAACATTGCTTTTAATGAACTGTGAATGATGGCTTTGAGATAATTCAAGCATGAGAAAGGTACCCAACAAACCTTTATACCACGTTTATAATGATGCACCCTTTAGTTTATAAGATTAAATCAAGCAGGGAAACAGATGGCTTGCACAAAGTTGAAATAATTACATTTATTTGTTTATCCTCTCTAAAATGCAGCTATAAATGCTAATACGGTTTAGGTGGTCAAACAGTCGGTTGGAGGGGTGTTCCTGAAGAACTACTGATATAAAAAGACTAAGTCTAAGTGTCACAGCGGAGGGCAGTTAAACACCAGCCAGAGGGGTTTTCACAATCTGGCAACTTGTTAGCACATGACTGAAGCATTAACTCTGACCTATATTTACACACACTGCAAACACACACACACACACACTACGCCCAGGTTGGGGCGTGTCAGGGCAGGTGACATACAATTAGAGGGCTATATACGAGAAGGTAACATGCTTGATAACAAAAGACTTGTTTAAGTGTGTGAGGGTTATAAAGGCCGGTCTACCTGGGGGAGTTCCAGCTGTCTCCCAGAGACCTCCACAGGAGATCTTCCTTCGGGTCGACGACCTGACTCAGCAGCTGCAGGGCCGCCTCCGTCAGCAGCGGTGAGAGAACAGTAGGAGGAAGGTCTGCAGGATACCGAGGCAGTATCTGTTTAAAAATGAAGGAAGTACATATCAACTGCTGTGCCTTGAAAGTAGACTCGTCCAGTGAAAAATACGTTCAGAAGAACTTACCGCGCCTAAACTAGTGAAGAAGATGTGGACAAAGTCAGGAGCAGTAGGGCTGGCTAGTGTCCCGTCCAGCTGGCCCTGTAATACAAAGAGCTTTTCAATCACACTCCACTGCTTTCTCCTGCAATCACACTCCAGTCAACACATTACAGCGTTCACACAAAATATTTCTAAAACCACTCTGGTCAATTTATCATCTTTGGAGACATTTAAAGAAGTATTTACCAGAAGATTGAATCCATACTTGACTTTCTGAAGATAGGAGATATATTCCTCCCAGGGTGGCAGACTGAAAGTGGGTACTTCAAGAGAGGGAAAGAAACTTATCAGATGCAAACATCTGTGCTATCTGCATGTCAGCACCTATAGGAGGTCACTTCTCCAGTAATTACTTCCATAAGAAGATGTGCCCTTGGAAAGAGAAACAGTAAAAAAAAATTTCAAAAAAAGGATAATACCATTTTTCTTTGATTTTTTCTTCTTAAATGGGTTCTTTTTGTTCTTCTCCTCTTGCGGTAAAGAAGGTGCATTTGCTGCAGCAGACACTTTGTCCATGAAGATCTCCAAATCACTTATAATGTGGTTTAAAATGTCCTGTAAAAAGGAGCACACGCATGACACAAATCATTCAGCGGCGGCAGGTGTGAGCATGTTTTCCTTGAGGTGAGAGAAATGATTAGACATCTATGATCATTTATTACTGATATAATCCACTATCTATAATTTATGACTAGTGTAAACAGTCCAACTGGCAGTACTGACTGTGTTCCTCTCTGTGTCCGTTTGCACAGCGACCTCTGGGCTAATATGCAATTCATGACGATCAAGATGATGCATCGCTGCATCTCGTGGGGCGTCAAATCGTGGAGGCGGCATATTTTCTACAAGGCAACAAAATGAATTGTTTGAAGACGAACATCAACACACAGTTTAAAACATACTGGATAGTTTAGTGCTGAACCCATCTTATTTGCACAGAACACATCCATAAACCTTGAGGAAATGAAAGAGTTTCTCTTCCATGAAGAACGTTTATTATTTCTTTTTTTATATGCTTTCAGTGCATGCGTACCTGGTTCTCTGATCCTCCACTGAGGGGGCGGGTGGTCCGGTGGTGGTGGTGGTGGTGGTGATGGGGTCCTCTCTTGCTGCCCAGAACGAGGCCCAGCTTGCCAGAAACCTCCTGGCACGTGTTGCCCGATGATATTCTCAAGATTAGTCCTGAGAACATCAACGACAGACAGCTGTTAATGCATTATTTTACCCTTCAATTTCCTTCTCACTAATGTGATTTCATCTCCCTTCAGACTGAAGTCCCGTGACGTGATATTGTACCTGATGTCAGAATGGTCTCTGCGTGGTTCCACAACATCACCTCCTTTTTGGACTACCTTATCCAGATCCCTCTTGACGAGCTCCGCCTGGTGAAACACATTATGTATGAAATCAAACTTTCGTGACACCAACAAAAAACATTGTTGTGAAATGGTGATACTGGTTTCAGATAATGGCCTCGGTTTCAGAGATTGCGCACTACAACATGACTACCACATCCTTTCTTCTCTGGATGAGGTCAGGAGGTCAAGTTTAGGGTGAAATGTGACTCACCCCAGTCTCCTCACACTGGAATATGAAGACCTGGGGGATGTGTTTGTTGCGTTGTTGCACAGAGACTGTGAGCAGAGAGTTGTAGGCGCAGCTATCCAGCACAGCTTTGGTTTGCATGATGCAGCTCAAAGGCAGCGACTCCAGCTCTGACTTTGGAATCAGATTAAACAGGACAAACATTATGATGACAGAAATACACAGTTAATAATCAATATTGAGAATATTCATACACAGAAAAATGGTCACGATTCTGTTTATATTCTAAAATACATTTTAATGTCAAACACTGAACATGTCTTTCTGTCTTGACCAGGGACAACGATGGAAATAAATCTAGGACTTTATGCTCCATCTGCAACAAATTATGACATGTTGTATTTTTATTAATGTATTTGAATGTTGTCAATTCCCTAAAAAACTTGTAGATGTACTTCATACTCAATGACAAAGGGATGAAAAAATACTTATAATAAAATTGCAAACTTTCATCACCTACTTTTGTCAGCAGCAGCACTTACTAAACTTATTAGAGACCTTCAACATTTCTTCCGTTTTTAAGATTTTTCATACACTTTCCTCCTTCTCCACGCTTAACTTAACTTTTCTAAGTGTCTCATTTTCTATATAAACAGCAGAACACTTGGAATTCAGCATGAAAGTTGTAATGTCCACATACGTTTGGCCATGTGCCGTACTTAGTAAAACATCTCTGAAGTGTGAAGGCTACCAACCTTGGTCTCAATGTCACTGAGCAGGAGATATCCCCCGTGAACCTCCATGATCATCTCCTGAGGCCACAGACGACCTTTGGCATCCAGCCTCTTGAGCTTGGCCAAACAGTCGTCCAGCGTCTTCACCTCCTGGCCGTCCAGCTCACAGGTGAACAGGTGCTGTGGAGTCAATGTGGAGGAGTCATGGATTAGGACGGCTATGGGTTGTACTATGTCTCCGTGCTGGTGCACATTTCACACTCACTTACCTCCACTCTGACTTGAAAGTTGTCAGGATGTTTGTTCAGCACCTCGGAGTACTCCTTTCTCTGCACTGATGTAAAGAAAATGGTTTCAAAGACATGTTTGACACATTTTGTTCTCACAAAAAATGAAATACAACCAGATGAGATGGCCGTTTATGTCCGAGCATACTGTATATTGATTTTCCACTGGGCCTTGAGATGTTGTTTCTCTGCAGTGGAGCACCCTTGGGGTTATCTTGTTGGAAAGCTTGCCTCTGCTGAGGGAGGTCCTCTGGTGAGAAACCCCTGCGGTACAAAGGCACAGTAATTTGAAGATAAACCAGCCGCTGCATGGTCACCACAACACAGTGGTGTTTTATCATGAAAGGGTGTGAGCACGTGTGCATAGTGCTGTAAATAATCTAATTAGTGCTCAAAGGCTTAACAAAATGAATTCCAGTGACTGGGGAGTCTGAAAGTGAAATTAAATTTACTAACCTTGGGGAATACGAGAAAGGGCCGCTGTTTCCAAACATTTTAAAACTACGTCCGTCTTTTTTGGAAAGTAAAAACTTCAAATTGGCAAGAAGCCCTTGGAGCCACTTGAACCTGTAAGATTGAATAGAAGATGTTCTGTCAACATTACAGCTGTTTTCATGTGAAGCCAGGACAGATGGTTGCATAGACCCACTCACATAACACAAATAATGTGTTTACCCAGTGGGGATATTCACAGAACTTGACAGCTGAAAGCAAGACTATATCACATTTGAAGGCCAAAATAACATTATTTTTACAAGTTAAAAGTTGAATTCACAAGTGATAAAATACAGCGTTTCTCAGTCAAGCACACTCATCCTAAAGCCAGTATATTTCATTACACTATATATACAATATATACAGTATATATATATATATATATATATATAACTATTTACCATTATCTCATGATTGCTGGTGTCAGCTATTCAGCAAAAGTTACATACGTTTGAAAATAACCAGATGCAGTGAGGCACAAAGAGTTACTTAACGGTTAGTAATTCATGGTTAAGATGAGCAAAGATTCAGTAATTATTAATCTGTCTGGAAGACTTCAGTTAGTGACTGGACAGAATAAATGGTAGATCAATAAAGAGAATTTTGAATTCAGCAATAAGATGAAACTCATCACAAGAACACACAGTACTGTTTAAGTATATAGTGTTACATAGACCCTGGATTAAATGTAGGCCGCAAAATGAGTTTTCCATTTCCAAACAAGAGGTTATGCCACCATCAGTCAAGATATATTTAACCACCTTTCATTACAACCTCTAGTCAGCTTTACGTAATGTATTCATTACCTGTCAGTGTTGGCTCTGATCCGGTGTCATCTTTCCCTTCTATTAAATAGACTTTCTACCAAGCAACAAGGATCCGCTCCTCACAGAGACTGCGGAGAAAGATTTCTTGACTTCCTGCTTGAAGTCACCAGGATCAAAGCTCAATGATCTGACGGGAGTGACGCTCAAGAGGCTTGGCCGGGTTTGTCATTTGAGGATAAGTATTTGAAGTACTTGCATCTGTGGCTCATTGAGTCCAAAGGTCTAGAAAATGCGTCACAGTATCTCTTTCAAAGTGATCAAAGGTCTTAAGTGCTCAAGAAAATGCCATTATGCAATTATCCAGCTGAAGCGTAATCTTTTATGGCAATAAAAATGGTGATGGTAAATATCTTCCACAATCACACACACAACGCCGCTGACAAATCACAAACGCAGAGGTTAAATGAAATGTTGAAAGAAAAGAAATAGACAGATGAAGTTGAATAAGAGAACCATTTATTTTACCATCAGCTGACGTGTAAATACTGTACACACCCATAACATATTGACGGAGACAAATATTTATTCCTTGAAGAAAAGTGAACGTCTCGTCCTGGGACCATGAGTCGGGGATTAGAGAAGTCTTCTTTGAAGACTTGACAGTTTAGGCCACAGCTGTTGCCTGAGTGGCCTTGGCCAGAGCATTCAGGTCTGTGATGCACTTGGCGATGCTCTCTTTCTCCTAAAAACAAACACACACAGTAATGAGGAAGTGTGAACTTGTTGATGCATGGGGGGAATCATCCCCCAGCTGGAGGCTTCGGACAGTTTGACACTGAAAGACCGACCTGCTGAGGAGTGATGCTGCCGATGACACTCTTCTCCACCCAGTTGATCATGTGCTCCTGCTCCATCCGGATGTGGAGATTCTGCAGCGCGACCTGGTAGTCCAAGCGCCTCTTCACCTCGTTGGTCACCATGTGTAGCCTCTCTCTGAAGTTGGTCTCCAACAGCATGGCCACATTGTTCTGAGAGGAAAAGAGGAGTTCATGTCGTCTTTGTAACCACGCGGTGGAAATATCTGGTCTACACGTGGGTTGCCAAAATGTTTGCTTCAAAGCTTCAACTGTTGCAGTCTCAACAAAGTCAGGTCTTGTATTTAATGTTATGCATAGGCTACAGTCTATCCAGTCATTTGTTCATATATGAAAAAATTTGTTTTGATGGGCTATTGGTGTAATATATTTGATGAGTTATTTCATATTTTGTAGGAGTTTTTATTCAATAAAAAGGAAACTCCATGAAGTTTTTGTCCTCATCTCCCATCAGACAATCCTAGCAAAGCACAATATAAGTAAATAATGACTGCAGGTTTGAGGAAAGTTTAACAGCTCGTGTTGTCGTCACCCCGTAAGAAGGTCTGTGGATCATCTTGAGTAACCAGGTCATGATTTCTGGAAAGAAACATTGCTTTGTTTGTTTGTTGAGTTTTTCAAATGTATTTTTTTGGCTCTTTGATGAGCACCAGATGTTGAATGCCATATAGTCCTATTATATTAGAGAGAAGGCAGACTTCTCTATGGCTGATATCTCCAAAACTAAGCAACTCACACCAAAACAAACTACATTGGTAATTTTGATTTTGGGGTGAACTGTCCCTTTAAAATAGCCATTATTGGAGTAAAAGAAAAAAACATTTACAAGGATGACAAAATATGCTATATGCTAATAAACGTTTATAATTCAATTATAAACTGCATATTTTTAAACATACTGCAAATATATAAAGAGAAACAAATGGATGCAAGCTGGTGTGTTGCATAGATCAGTGACGACTCTCAGGACCTTTATGCATTTGGGAAATAGTATTTTTCCAAGATTAGAATTAATTTTCTCATAGTATTACAGCTCCACACAGCCAAAGCAGGTTTATTTGGCCACTCTGATGTTTTTGCAATTCCTACTTGTTGCCAGTAGAGGTCGACAAATATCCAAGATCACATAATGATGCTGGGTCAATATGAGTGAAAAAATATTTTGTAAATATGAAAAAGTGCAATATGAACAACAAATAATATATTGGAAGATAAAAAAATGAAACTGGCAAAGCCGATGCTGCTTACCCTCTTGGCGTCGAAGAGCATTGATCTTCCCTCTGCTCTCCATTGTTCCTTCTTCTCATCCTCAATAGCCTGAGTCAGACTGGCCATGGCCACGTCCTTCACCTCTTGAGCCTTAGACACTTTGTCCTGCAAACACAAACACACGCTTACAATGGCTGGGCACAAAAGAAAAGACCAAAGATCTTTGAACAGTAATCTCAGTTCTACTTTGATATCGAATTATTAACCCCAAAATAAAGAGAAAAAAAAAAAATGCAAATCCATTCGGTTGCCGGCCTACCTCGTTCAGTTTGTCAGCAAAAGCTGCAACACTTGGGCCAAATTTCTTGACACCATAGATGATGACAGCACCGATGGAAGCAGCAGCAAAGGTCTCATGGTTGATGACGTAGATTTCCTTGGAAAGCATGTAGAGGAGGAGGCCAGTGCCCAGCATGTAAGGCCCTAGTGAGGAAGAGAAACATTTAGAATTCCTTTCATTGTCAATGAAAGTAGATTCATGTAGCAGTTAGTTTTTGATGAAAATTTACAAAATTCAATTAAGATATAAAGAACGAAAAACACATCAATAACAATGCTAGTGGGACATGGTCAACAAAGTCAGCATATGTAGTTTAGGGGCAGGGTAAAGTTGTATTCATTTTATATTAACATTTAAAATGTAATCACATTAGTATTACAAGCATTTCTATTAACAGCAGAACTGCACATGCAATGCGTTACTATCCGATACATTGCTCTTTACAGAACATGTTGGCTTTCTACTGGAGCACTGATGTCTCATGAGAGACTAGGCCTGTGTTACATTAAGCCTCAGCCATAAGCCTTCTGTGCTTAAATGGACAAGCGGCATTCAGCTTGTAAGCACCACATATCTGAACCAACTCAGTAAACTTGAGGTCTGCGTCAACTTTCAATTTTTTTAAATTGGGGATTAAGAGTTTTCTGTTTGCGACTGTATTTCATTTAATCAAATTTGGGACTGTTTATTCATATCTTGCACATACAATAACTGCATTATGAAATTAAGTGCAGAAAACTGAAGTCTATTCTGCTTACGTATTTGAGCTAATGGAAGTGAATAGACACAATTTTTAGGTTTGATAAAGCTGCTATTCATTATTTTACCTGAGGGAAAGGTATATATTTTCAGCATATAAATTAAAATAACTGAAAATTGAGTCTTGCTTCTGCCTACTGACCTGTGACTCCAGTTTTGGGGTATAGGAGCTGGAAAATCTCGTCGGGGAAGATGCCATGGCGAACTTTGCCTCCCTTCTCTGGCAGAGCGGGCACCGGGGCCAGACTCTGGGACGATGTGTGCAGGGAGCGAGACGCCTGGACCAGGCTGTGAGAGACAACACAATAGTTTATATTAAGGACGTAGGGTGTATTTTTAATGTTTAATGAAAATAACAAATACAGTAAAATACTACTTGTAAAGACACATACCCAGCTCCAAGGGGGCTGCAGCTTTTCAGGCCAGCAGCTGCAAACAGAGGAGAGAAGGACGTAAAGTCAGTGAAGCAAATGATGGTTGTTTGTCATGTTTATTTCATGATTAATACCTCTCTACAGATGTTTAATCAAAAGCCGACCAGTATAGCCTTCATGAAGGTTGGATTAATAACAGGACTGTTGTATTAGTGAAGTGCAACTAATGAACTGGAAACGAAGTATATACAACTTCACTGTACAATGACAAAAGTCAACAGAAGCCCAGTTACAGGACGAGGTCATTTCAACACCTGATGATAATATCATGTGGATGTCTGGTAGCAACTGGTCTGGCTGTAAATGAACAACTTGAAAAAAACACATACTTCTGGTGGATTTACATTGTGTAGCCAATGGAGTTTATCCTTCTACTACAAACGTAAACAGCACGAAACCGACCAACGTTAGCTGTCAAACAGGTGACATCTACAGGCGTGCAGAGTTAGCGCTTGCTAAAGTAGCTACAGCTAACGTTAGCTATCGTCATCTAACTTGTCTGTAGCGATGTCCGACAGAAACAACACAGTCAACAGCATTACCAATAACCGTCGATACAAATAAATGCAATAAACTAAATACAGTTTCAGATCGTAACGTTATATCCTGTAGTTACCGTAGCTAATGTAAGCTAGCATTAGCATGTCTCTCATTCAAATGTGCGGCCTTCACTTTACCCTTCAGCTTCACATTCAATTTAAACTTTTGTTTCTTGACAGTTTGGTTGCGTCAGAGCTGAGTGAGATGTATTAATCAATAAAAGAAAGAATACTGCATACCTGACACAATAACGAGTCTGGACAGCATGTTTGAAGAATGAAGTGCCGAGTTCTTGCTACACCGGGGCACCCTTGTTTCGGTCTCTTCGTGCCCTTCTGCAAAGAGCCGCAAGGATGGCGGAAACACGAGATATCCTCGTGAAGTATCGCGAGAGTAGGGTAAAGCTCCTATTTTTAGTTGTTAAAGAAAACGACCACGAGATGACGCTGTACGCAAGATGCTGTCCTCGCGTTGAATTTGGGTTAAGTTAATATATGAATGGAGAGAATTTTAGGTTATATGTGATGCTAAGATCCAGTGTTTTGGGTTAATTAATCTTGAAAATACTCATGACTTTAATCAAAACTTCTAACAAGTAAAATATTAAGTCAGTCAGTTAATGCAAATAACAAATAGGCCTACACACGCATACACACCACCAGCAAATGATGAAGCTCATGGCATTTACAGCTTCTCAACTCATTTTAATGAAAATCTGACTGCTTTTATTGAAAATAATGTATATTTCCACGAGGCAACCACACACACAGCACTCTCTCCCATGTGGTGGGTTTTATCCCAGGCTGCATGTAGGGGGAATTGTCTCAGTCTGTGTGTAATCTTGGGGCCCACCCGTGTATGGCATCAGTTTGATGCGAGTGGCTGGTGAGATAGAGGAACATATGACGCTGTGGTTCACTTCACTTCCTGTAAAATTTTGCTCAACAGAAACAGCTACATGTGAAACAGACAAAACCTCCGGACACTATTTCAGAAGAGTGAGAAAATGGATAACTTCTCAATCACCTCATGAAGAGTTTTCCCCACTGAATGAGATGGCATTGTAGGTAAGATCTGCCATGTGTTTTTGCTTATCAAGCAACATACGTTCTTTGCATTATCTTGTACATTTTCCCTCCACAATCTACACTTTCCAGAGCCTAGTCTATCTTTGATAACTCTGATACTCAGTGTTAAAGGAGCTTTCTGACAAATAACAACAGAAATGCAACCACTGTAACATCTACATTACATTTACTGTTACTACAACTATAACTATACGACCTACTACTACTGCTTCTACTGACTTGCATGGTTAAAGGCATTGCTGCCACACAGAGCATCCTAAATGTAAAATATACTGTTGAGGTTTTGAATTTTGCTTTATTTTGTGCATACTGCTCACATACCTTTGGAGCCCAAACACTAACTGTCTTTCTTTATATTCTTTTTTAGTGTTTGAGATATACAAATTGATACCACAGACGTTTAAGGGCATATTTCAAACACTGTGTTTTCCATGTAAATGAAAAAACCTGAACTGTTATATACATCTTATCTTCATGTGTACTGTCTGAACCGTCATTTTGCACCTGAAACACATCATTCAGTAATATGTTTCAGCTACCTATAACATTTGATACACATCAGTAGATTGTATGATTTCAACTGAAATGTTAACGTGCTGTATTTTTCATAATTTAAGACAATTCTAATTCATTTCATGATGCATTTTCGTTGTAGGCTCGGGACACTGTAACAGCCAGAGGGGCTGCCATGGACGCCCTGACTGTCAGGTGTATACAGCTCTCCCCATTGAAACACTTTGAACAAATAGTGGACATCAGAGCAGAGAAACGTGAACACCTGCGAGGACGCAACAACGTGACTTCATGTCGCAGCCCTACGAGAGAGTTGAACACAAGACTGATCAAGAATGAACTGAAGGAAAAGAGGCAACTTGAATTTCTGAGGAGGAGATCAGTGAGCCCAGAGCAGTGTGGTTTGAATACTACAAACTATTATTCTAGGAGAAAACCTTCACCAAAGACATTTTTAATGAAACAATACAGTCCAATCAGCAAGTCAGAGACTTTGCATACAAATGTCCAAAATACTCCAACCGATAAAGGGAGGCATACAATGATGATTTTAACACCAAACAGTAGCGTAACTGAAGGCCCAAGCACCAGCAACTGGGTAATATCCTTTGACGTTATTAGTGTTATTTCACTAGAACCATGTTTAATCTTTCCACGTCCACAGGAGTAATAATACCTGCATCATCTTCTCTCTCCTTATTTCCCCAGGCTTCATTATGGACAGAACAGGTAACACTGATGAGCCAAGAGAAAGGCCATGCAAGGAAGCAAGCATCTTCCTCCAAACCAGCAATAAAGGAATCAAACCAGCACAGGGCGAAAAGCACAGATAAAAGAGAGAATAGTATTAATGGTAAATAGCTTGCCTATAACATTTTGATTAGAGTCAAATTATCTTTCATTGGCCCACTAATAATGCTGTTTTTACTTTCTCTCAAAGCTCAAAAGACAAGCATCAAAACATTCATCCATGCAGAAAAGATTCACCAAAAATTCTCCATCCAACCTGAAAATATTCTCCAAAAGAATACACAGCGAGAGACCAGTGTGCAGACAGAGTGGGTTGAATTTAAATCTCAAATTTGATATCAGAGGCAGCTGTGATAGTGTTTCCTATTTCTATATTGAGATATTTTCTTCTGTGCAGGTCAGGTCTCGTCACTGTCAAGGAGTCAGTAAGTTTCAAACTGTTGCTTTATTAAATGGGGTTTTAAATCTATAAATTGCATGTTAGAAAACTAAGATTTAATAAAATGTAACTGTTTTTGATGTCTCTTATCTCACATATAATAGGATCTTCAGAGTTTAACTGACTACTTGGAGGTAAACATAACAATTCTTTTCCAAATCAATTCTGTGCTGTTTGTTCTTTAAATCAGGACTATGTCACTTTTGAGAGATTCAATAAAACATTCTTCCTCGAATGAATGAAAAGTTAAATTCATAAGCCATAAAACTCAGCCTTTCTCAGTTGAACACACTCAAGAGTTTTACTGACACAGCCTCACTTGGTCTGGTATGAACTGAAGCTTATGGTGGCTAATGTTAGCTAGATTTTGCTTTATAACTGACATTACTGACATAAGTTTGTGTTTTTCCTCTTCCTGTCTTACTGTTACACTACGTTTTACCACTCACAATCCTCCCATGTCACTTGTTGCTACAGTGGCTGTTAATAAACTAAAGTTAAACAGTTTTGCTTTGTTTATATTATCTGAAGCTACTGTATGGCCCGTAGCTTATGGTGGCTAATATTAGCAAACGCTGGTTAGATTAGTTGTATAACTGACATAAAGGAAGTTTGTGACTTTATGACTCTTCTCTACTTTGTTTATTTGATCTGAAGTTACTGTAAGCACCATCCTGTTTGAAGTAAATCGCCTGCCTTTAATGTTTGAGACAAAAATAGGCACATTTTATCGGTTTCATCTAACGGAGTACAGAAGATGATGATGTTGTATCTCTTCTCTCCTCTGCTGTCTGTTTTCTACCAGGAGGCTCTGTGGAGAGAGGAGGCCATGAAGAAGAAGCTTGCCGCCCTCCAGGAGAGCACGTCAAACCTCGTGAACTCCTCGAACAAAATATGGAAGGTAAGACTCTGCATCCATATGTACAGCCTATCATCAAGCACACCCCCAGGGTGTCACAGTTACAGTTTCCAAACACATATCTCTTGTTTTATAAGCTCATGTTGTTGTGTTGATGATCTCCATGATTGATATTAAACTGAAAATGTCTTCGTCAAAGTCGCGTATGGTGGCTGCTACCCCAGGAAGGCTTATGCAGTTGTGGTTTGGAGCTTCCTGCTTCTGCTCTAACCTCCTGCATAGGAGGAGTGCAAGCTGTCATTCTCATACAGGAAGGGTGTGACAAGTCAGCAGCTATAGGTGCTATGAATCCTCATTAGCTGTCTTTTGGCTACTCTAGCTGTAATGAATGAAGGGGAAATATTGGTGTTTCCCTTTTTTGTTTAATAGTTTTTTTTAATTTGGATTTGAACAGCAGTGGATCTAGAAGTTGATTTAGTTTAAATAATGCATGCTTTTTCTTTCTCAGTCAGGTATGTTATTATCAGGCAACTTATATATGTTTTTGAATTCAAAACAGTTTATTGCTGCGGCACATGCAGACATTGTGATCTTTCTTGAGGCTCACTGATGCTGCAAGTTGCCTTTGTGCACCAGTGAGTGTAGACAGTGAAAGAACATACTGTCACAGATTCTGGTAGATGAACCATGCATTCATTTTCCATCTGCAGGCCACAGCGTGACAGTCATTTCCTTTCTAACCCACACAGGCTCACTGCAGTGAAGACTTGCTGAGAAACAAGATCAAGGCTCTGGAGGCGCAGCTGCAAGTCTGCCTGCAGGTAAGAACAGCAGCTGGTGGTAAAGATGCAAACACTGAGTGTTTTTTTAAAAATCTTTTTTAAAACACCATTTCAATGCAGAAACTCAAACAATCCTTCCTAAAGCAGCCGACCTGCTCATCACTTTCACTCTGTCACGCTGTGTTAGTCCAGTGTCTACTCTGGGTTTGGTAAGCGCTTGTAGATTTAACTCAACAGCGTTGTGTCCTCATAGAAGTTTCCAAAGGATGGAGTGAAGAAACTGGTGATACAGATGGAGAAGCAGAAACTGGTGTATGAGGAGAGGGCCCTGGTCGCCCTGCAGAAGATCACACAGGAGAAAACTGAGGCGGTCATCAAGTCTGAGACAATGCAGGTCAAATAACTAGCTTTTAACCCAAATAATAAACAACATTTCTATTTGACTATCTTGAAAGGCACATCGATGTCATTGACTTGTTTTGTTTTTTTGCCATCAGGAAGCGGTAGTTACGACAAAGGAAGAGGCAGTGAGGTGGCAGAGCCTTTGTGAGGAGCTGAAGCTGAGCTCTGGGCAGCTCAGGGAGAACCAACACCTCAGTAATGAACAGCTGCAACAGCTGCAAAGCCAAGTGGAGGTATGGTAGTCAGTGACCATGTGGATGGCCAGAAGTTTCAATGTGTACGGTTGTGAAAAACGTGTGTCCTGTGCAGCTGTCCAGAACCAGAGAGGCCGAGCTGAGGGAGGAGGTGGTGTCATTGCGACAAGAGAAGAAGGAACTACAGTACAACATTGGGCTGCTGGAAGAAGACTATCAGATTTTAAGAGAGGAAATCCAGCACCTCAGAGGCAAGACCCTTAGACCTTAGAGTCATGTGTTTATACAGAGTACAAGGCAACATGGTTCATTTATTCAAACAGTTTTCTATCTCCTAGATGGCAGCAAGGAGAGCCAGGGCGCCATGATGCAGGGGCTTCTGACGTCAGAAGAAGAAGAGCCACGACTGACGGCGAGGAGAGACTCTCAGGTGGAGGAGCAGCTCCGTCACACTCAGGAGAAACTCGGGCTCAAAGAAAGAGAGGTGAAGTGGAGATATCACAGTGTACTGCAGCACATTCACAAGCTAAACGTTTTGTTTGAGTTAGTTGTTTCACAAAGTTAGATATTCATGAATTCACACTAAATGAGTCAAAGATAATATCCCAATCATTTAGGATTTCTACAATGTTTGCACTGATGCATAATGATAATTTAATTTGGATTTATTGACAAAATAAATCATAAATTAACTCAGCTTCCACACTACTCACTACCCTCTACTTCCCTAATACATTTCAAATGAGAGTCAAATCTATTTAAAAAATATTTATCAAGATGGATTTTATATTACTTGCCCTCCTTACTAGAAAAACAATGTGCACACAGTGCGAGGAGCTGCAAACAGAGCTGCATGCCATGGAGCAGGAGTGTCAGTCCAGCCAGGCCCGGCTGTCGCAGTGCAGGGACGAGCTCCGGCAACTCAGCCACCGCAGCAGGAGACCGGTGAGTGTGTGTGTGTGTGTGTGGGTGGGTTTAGGGGAATTTGAAACTAAATGTCCTTGCTATACTCAAATGCTTATTTGTCCTTACACTGTCACAATTTATTTTGCTTCATTTTTGCTGCATTGACCAAATCAGCTTGATATATATATATATATATATACTGTATATATATATATATATATATATACACTGTATATATATATGATAATTTGACGTTTCTTCACACGTTTTTTCCCACTTTGTTTAGACACGGTGTGGCTCCTGGTGGAAAGTGCTTGTGACCTTCCTTCTTCTCCTTGCTGTGGCGGGGGTTGCCATGTTGTGGGTGTGGCATCCTCCTTTCAGGGAGCAAGTTGAAGACCTGTACTCAGACATAGAATCACGTATTGAAAACTATCTCATGGACATGGCGTCTCCTCAACACTCAGGCTTTTTTAGACCGATATGACAATGTCACTGCTCAGGAACATTGTTCTTTGTTGTTGTGTACACAGGAAGAAACACAGGATGTAGTTTGTTGATCATTTTGTATTTCAAAACATTTCAGACTTAGAGCTCAAAGTATTTTTGAAAATGTTGTGTTGACATGTGTAGGATGTTTGCAGAAAGTCAAAATGTAACTGAATATGAATGAAAAATGTCTTTGTGATGTATTCCAACAATGAAAACATGTTAAAGCAAATGTCACAAGCTGGCTGAGGTTAATACGATTTTAAGAAGTTGTGTGTCAAAAATATCAACACAATAGTCAGGAGTAAGAACACAGGAAGTATCCTATGTACTGTAAACAGCTTGATTGGTCAATAGCACCACCTTTAATTATTAAAAACTTATAATAAACACATAAAAGGCCATTAGGCAAAGACAAAACATAGTTCTTTCAGCTGTTGCTCTCAGTAAACAAAACAAGGGAGCGTAAGTACGCAATAAAAAGCTATCCGAGTTTTACATGATCAGAAATAAAGTAATATTGTTACTATAACATATGTTACTGTTTGTTGAGTCAGTACTTAAACATTTTTAAGCTTTGTGAATAAAGTGTCATCGGTTAGAGTCTTGAGTTCATGGTGGGTTAAGTGTCAAGCAAGATACGTGAGATCTCCATCATTGAAGACATCGTGAAGAAGGACCACTCCCTTCTTCACGAAGGAAGTGGTTTTTAAATCCTGATGCATCTTAAACAAATCATCATCCACCGACAAACAAGTATTCCCCTTTGAGTAGATCTCATCTGTGAGAAATTTAAGTTTTAAAGCTCCTAATTATGGGGATTATGCGAGACTGTATTTACTTGTAGGAGTTTGAACACAGAAGTGTGTTTGAGTGTCTGTGTGATCAGGGTTGAGGAATGTGCTAAGAGCGGGGGTTGTGTGAAAGTGGCTGCTTGAGGTGTTAAGAGTAACAATGGGGCAATGGCCCAGGAGAGGCTTGTTGGACTTCAGCCAATCAATGAGCTGATCGATGAGCTGAGGAATGAAACTTTGGGGAGAGAAAGGGTTTGAAGCTCTGGGGGATTTCAGATCTTCTGCTGGTATGCCTCCTCGGTGGCTCGGATTGGATCTCACATTTCATTTAATATATAGGTTTGTTTTGTTATTAATTGTGTGATTGGGTTTGTAACTGTTCTGTTTGTATCTATTTTTATGCTTCTTGGATAATAAATCCATTTCATTTTGACTTAAACCTGCTATTGTGTTTTGGAGGCGATTGAGAGCACATGGCTGCAAGGGGAGGGGGGATTTCTCCCTGTGTTCAAAAGTTATGGACATAACACATCTTACTTACTCATCTTACTAAGATCTGGTATAAAACAAAAATGATTGTCACAGCTAAAATCAGAGGTAGAACCATCCCCATCACAGTTCAGACTGCACCAGTGTACAGCATTAATTGTCTCAGTGATGTGATGGCACTGTGTGGTAACTACCAGTTGCTCGTGTCAATGCTAAAATGACTGAAATGAATAATATGTTGCAAATTCTACAGAAATGTTCATGAAACTGACAGGAATGACACATGGCACCGTCTATTGTCCGATTACACTCAAACCCAGAGACAAAACACACTATTGTTCATTGTATTCTGCGGTTTTAACTGTTCCAGATAAAGCTCTATTCTCAACAGGCACTGACACAGCACATCCACCACACAGACCTTTCCCACACACCTGCATGTTCCCCCAAATACACCACAGCTCATTGAAGAGATGGATCTTTGCTGGACTGAGGTCAGTCTCTGGTTGAAACTGGCACTGAAGGTAAGAGGCTGCAAAGTAGATGCTGATGAGTGCCGAGGTTTTTTTTAACATATTTCACAACACGACAGGGCGGATCTTGCAAAACTCTCTTTTACTTACAGAGTGACAATCCTCCACAAGATGAGGACTGCTGTTCTGCTGTTTGTTGTGGGGTTGTGTGTGTCGAACACCACATCTTCCCTGAAGATCTGCGCTTTCAATGTTCAGAGCTTTGGTGAATCAAAGGCAAACAACAAGAAGGTTATGGGGATTCTTCTAAAGGTATTCTATTGTACAACAACTGGAGCAATATCCACGCAGAACTAGGTAACTGATAGATCTCTTTTTTTTTGCTCCCAAGATTCTTTCTCGGTGCGACTTGTGTCTTATTCAGGAGGTCCGAGACTCTAAAGGAGCAGCAATACAAGATTTGGTTAAGGATCTCAACAGGTAAGAGTTTTGTTTGATTCAAAAACTGCTAATCTAAAAGATCTGGTGAAGCCTCTTTCACAACTGCAACTTTAAACTTCTCATTTATGTGGACATCAGCAGGTTTGACAAATCCAACTCGTACTCCTATGTGGAAAGTGAAAGACTGGGGAGGACGACCTACAAGGAGCAGTATGTCTACATCTACAGGTAACCCATAATCAAACACCACCTATTGCTCTTAGTGGTCAGATTAACATGACATCCTTAATGTTGTTTTTTTTCCTCTCTCATCTTCTCCAGGAGCAATGTGCTGACGGTCAAAGAGCATTATCAGTATCCTAAACTAGAAGGAGAAGGAACCAATGAAACAGATGTTTTCTCCAGAGAGCCTTTCATCGTCCGCTTCCACTCCCCAACGACATGTACGATGAAGCAAAAGGCATCTTTGGAATTATACAGAAGAAGAAAGTAGCCACATTAGCACACACTATTATCCCAGCTATTATCTGAGGCCAGTTTCACAAAGACGGACTTTAATTTCCTGGGTTTTAAACACCTGGATGCTAGGTGGATATAAACACCTTATTCAGGGTTTCTAAAAAATATATACAGAGATATTAATAATCAGGGTTCTCTATGTTCCATGTGAGCATTGTATATGTATGATCATACCATATGAGCAAAACTAAGAAAAGACTGAAGTTTGCTTGTAAACACCTTAATTGAAGATGTGTCTTAAATGTTTGCTGTTATTTTGCAGTGGTGAAGGATTTGGTCCTGATTGGGCAGCACACCAGTCCAAGAAGCGCCATGAAGGAGATGAATGAACTGTACACTGTCTTCAAAGGAATTTACAAGAAGTGGAAGACTGATGTAGGTTAAACCATCATCATCATTTAAATACAGTATATATATATATATATATATATATATATATATATTCTTTTCACTTTTTTTGGTCCTTTTTTAAAATGTGTATCTTGGTCAGAGTTCCTCAGCTTAACTTCATATTGGTTTCTCTCTACCACATATATGAGTATCTTTTGTCTGATGAACTTCCCCTTTTGCCTCTTTTCATCCACCCAGAATGTGATGATCTTGGGGGACCTCAACGCCGGCTGCAGCTACGTCACCATCAAGGGCTGGAGAGCTGTGCGCTTGAGGAGTGACCCTAACTTTCGCTGGTTAATTGGAGATGAGCAAGACACTACTGTCCGTGAGAAGACGCACTGTGCCTATGACAGGTCAGTGACTGCTGAAAACTGAATCACATAAGGTCACTGAAGAAGTGCTCAACAATTAAATGCATGTATAGTCTCTATAATGATTTAAGATTATTGTGAAAGGCTTTCTGCTGCAGGGTAATGTCATATACACAATTTTGGATTTTTCAGGATCATTGTCCACGGACGTGAGATTATTTCCAGTATAGTGCCAGGTTCTGCTCAACCGTTCAACTTTAAGAAGAATTTCCATCTGACAGAGGAGGAGGTAAACATGTCATATATACATATACACTTCTTTAATTCAGTTATATACCTAAAATGAAGATTCATTTCTTCTGATGGCACTTTCAGGCTCTTGCGGTGAGTGATCATTTTCCTGTAGAAGTTGACCTGAAGCCGAACCACCGTTACCTCCTCCGCAATGAGCTGTAGGACAACCAGCAACAAACCAGGATGTCGGATCTTAACTGTCGTTTTACTGGATTTTAGTTGTCAAAATAAATCAAAGTTCACAAAATTCACAACTCTAACTCATCACTTAAGTGGCACTGTATTCATCTCAGTTATATAAGACATTGTACACATGAGTTGTTTCAGCATGAAGGAACAAGTGCTGCAGTTCATACTGTGCATCTGAAACCAGGACCACATCAAAGCTGACATCATTTCATGAGCTCATGAAGGTAAGTTCCCGAAGCAACGCAAAACATTACTTTTGTAATTTCACTTTTTAGACAAGACACACAGCATTTTGATTATCTTCCGCTTTATGGTACGGCTTACATGATATAGACATTTGTAGTTATATATTTAGCCAAATATATAACATTCGATTTATTGTGTAACTTTTGCAACGTCTGTTTGACAGGAAGCCACACGCAGCAACAAGAGACGAGAGATACATTGCGCTCTCTTCCTTTCCGAGAAGAGATTATCTGTGGCAGTAATGTTTGTCTTGATATAACTTGTACAATATAAACTATTGTTTTCCCTATTTGAAAAGATGGAACAAAGTTTTGCTGATCTGCTTAGTGATGCTTTTTCAGGTAAGAAATACATCTTATATGTCTCACTACTGTTGTATTTACTTTTCTCTTCTTTTGAAACTAGTTATCAAAGTATTTAATTTTCAAATGATGATGTTGTCACAGGAACAGCTGTTCCATCATTCCCTGATGAAGATTTGGACTTTGAGAATTTAAATTTAGATGAAACATCTGAGGCAATCAAAACAGACATCTCTCAAGAAAACGCAGTAACAAAGGAAGACGGGGCTCTGCAACAGGAAGCAACTGGTCAAACTGCACTTTTGTCTAACATGGAAACTAAAAATATATACATGGCTGAAAATGTTGATGAAGAGCAGTGTGATGATAAAAGCGAAGAGGACTTTGAAGGTGTAGGGGTCATGAACAGGGACAAAACACTGGAGGATTACACAAGCTCAGAAGAAGAGACTGAAGAGAAAGGCTCTGGAGAAGATGAGGAGGAGGAGGAAGATGAGGAAGATGATATAGGACCAGGAGAGGAACCAGGGGATTTGTTGAGGTCGGTTCGTTGCGACGACGACTTTTGCGATGGTAATAAAGAGGACAGGATCTTCACTGAGGGACAACCTCTGGCCCCGGAGGCTGCTGGAAACCCTCAAGTTAGAAACGAGGAGCAAGGTGAGAGCGAGAGCGATGAGGAGATGTCCTATTTTGAGAGAGTCCCTGAACGTGGCAGTGAGATGATGGTCAGAGGTGATGGGATTGAAGAGGATGAGCGAGAGAAGGAAAAAGAAAAAGAAGAGGACTCGCGTGATTCTGAGTGTGAGGGCAGGGAAATCGAACAAGAAGAAGCTGTTCTCGCTCTGTGCTGTGAGCAGAAGCTTGAAGATCCTTGCGGGGATGGCCCAGCGAAAGCCAATTTGGAGTTTCCAGAAATATCAGTGAAAAATCTGCCGGATCTTATTGCTGAAGTTGATAGTGAGAAATATGGAGAGAAAATGAAAGATTTCTCAGGGGAGGAGCACCAAGATGCAGGTGAGAGCTTTGCAGATTATCCCTCAGACTTTTCCTCATGTGAATATGTCGAAGATGGAGGCAAAAATCAAGAGAAGGATTACCAGTCAAAGGCCTCGGCTTGTGCATCCGACAGCGATTCAATTACAAAGCAGAACACCTGCCTGGAAGGAGCTGTAACAGATGTCATGCGGATGGGGAGAGCTGAGGACACTGGTGAGGAGGGGGACGGGTATCTGTACAGCAGAAATTTAGAGGTGGATGCCAATGAGTTCAGGAGCCTGGACGTGGCTAACGGAGAAAAAGACTTTGTGGAGAAGGTGTCCGGTGATGCAGCTGTAACAGGGGTTGATGATGGAGGTGAGACAGGTGAGAGTGATTCCTACACCTCCAGTGATGATGAGTTCCAAGAAAAGAGGAGTGATGTGGAACTCATGTGTCCACAAGATGCAGCATCTTCTGACTACTACAACAGAGTAGATCCAGCAGATTTCCACATTCATTGGAATCTAGACGTGTTAACAGCTGATACCCGTCTGTCTGAAGACCTGTTAACCGCAGAGGACACAGATGAAGTGGATGCACTGCTTTCAGATGTGACTCAGCATCCTGCAGAAGATGGCAACAGCTACTCAGTGGTACAGAGTGCAAAAACAACAAACCCCTCTAACCAGGGATCCCTGGATGATAGCTTCTTCTTTAACACTGAACCAGAAGCCTCTGGGATCATGGAGACTGGACAGTTGGGAGACGACGAGGACGAAGAGGAGAGGGACTGGGAAAAAGAGCAGCAGAGAATCAAGGCTTTCTACGAGTTTTATGATGACAGCGACGGAGAGAATGAAAGCGAAGGTGAGTGAAGATGATGAAGCGTATAATTATCTATATGGAATCACATTTTCAAACGATTTACAAGTTTCTATTTGTGCATTTCTATAGGAAGACAGATAAAAGTTCAATTTTGTGCAGATCCATTGTCTCAAGTCATTCACTATGAGACTGACAGGTGAGCACGACTCCTAGTACTTAACTTTTTTTTTCTTGAACAAAAACTACAACATGAGTAATGACAGATCCAAACAAAACACAACCGTGTCTGCTTCCTTGTTTCTCAGCAGTGACAGAGCTTCACTCAGCAGCTCCACAGACGGGGAGGAGGACCTGAGCTCTGCAGAGACATCTGAGGTTTGCACGTGGACACATATAAGCACACATTAAAAAATATATACAAATGCATGAACACATAAACTAGATTTCTTAACTGCTTTGCCTTTGTCCAGGAATTGAAGGAGCTCAACAACGCCACGGAAATGTCACAGGCTTGTGACCCCCCAAACACTCAGCTACCGGAGAACGTGCCAGATATCAGCGACACACACATCTGTACCAAGAAACACAAAGTGTGTACTCACTGGCGTTTACTGGACATTCACTTTGTTCATTTGTTCCTGAATTGTTTAGTTACTTTTGCCTCTCTGCCCTGTCCTTTGTTCCTGCAGTGCTTCAACATGCTGAAGCTGACACTGAAGATGGGTCTGGTGATACTGACGGGACTGCTGATGTTCTGGTTTGCCACGGACCAAGCAGGCTGGTTCAGCGATGTGTCCTTCTTTTAGGTCAAAGCCTAATTTGTGGTCATTGAAATTTGTTCACATGCTTACGGCGGATGAAAGAAAAATCCAGAAATGACAATATTGTCTTGTAAAAATGCAATGTAAAGTGCTGTTGTCTGTTACATGCAATTGTGTGCTTAATAAAGATGTATCTTTGTTTACAATGATGCTGATGTATCTGTAGATGAGTCATATTCCCACTTTTTTATGTAGATTATATCAGGGCTAAAGAGGCCTAAATCTAAGGCCTCTAATGTGGTGGACCATAACTCAGTACATTTACCAAAGTACTTTACAGTTTTGAGATACTTCTTCTCGTCGTCATCACAGAGAGAAATGTTGTACCCTTTTATAAAGTTATATTTAATTGCTTTGCAGATACAAGCTTTTACATACAAAATCGAACTTAAAATATACAATACATTGCTACAGTTTAAACTATGCAACAGTATGTAAAGTGTTTTTATTTTAGATAGTTACTGTTATACTGTTGTCATTGTCGCTAATAAAAGCATAAACTTACTTACTTTCTTACTACTTCCTGTATTTGTGTATTTGAATATAATCAAACAGCAGGTGGCGCTGCTATATTTCTGGAACGAAACCAGACTCGAAACCATAAAAGAAGAATGTGTCAAACGGAAACGATGCAACGTTTGACGGAAAGCGCAAATGTTTTCAACACCTGGGTCAACAAAGGAGAGCGGGGTTTAACCCTCTCTATACCCTCTCCAGCGTTCGACTCCACACAGAATTGTCCCTACCACCCGCGTCACAAAACGAGCTCCTACTGGTCATCGCGGAGGGAGGAGTTAAGATTGTTGGTCTGAAACTAACAGCATAACGAAACAGGAACACACCAAAAAAATAACAAATCACAGGAATCTGAACGAGTAAATGCAATTATAAAAATGTCTTCGCTAAGAAGTAAATCCGCGCAGGACATTAGCGACCTTTTGGATGAATACGGGATAAAGCACGGGCCTGTGGTCGGTGAGTGACTCGCAGTCAACAGTCAACGTTCACTTTGCGCCCGTTTTTGAATCAACGTTAACTTCACAGGCCTCCCGCTACGTGTTAACTCACTCTACCCCTGTAATAGTGGTTGAATTCTTGTGTTTGTCTTTGTACACTTGTTCATTATCTCTCAAATGACTTTTTGTTTGTTCCCAGACTCCACCAGAAGTCTGTATGAGAAGAAGCTGAAGGAGGCCATGGCCAAAGGGAAACGACCGAAAGAATCATCTGATAAAACCTACTACAGAGAAGAGGGTCACTTATACTTTTATCTAACACCTACAGTTGAATACTGAAGCTTTACTTTGATAAATAAATGCGACGGTATAGTGCATACACAAGTCCACAAATGTACCAGAAGTCTGATAATATATAATCTATATTTATAACTGTAATATTTTGCCATTATAACTGTACTGTTACAAACAAATTCTAAAGTTGTCTGTTAAATAAGATGCCAAAAGACTGGAAACATCTGTGCTGCTATTGTGTTTTAATTAAGAGAGGATGTTGATCAGGTGGTCCACCACTAACTAGCTAGATGATTTATTAACTGTATTAATGAACAGATGTCTTTTGTTTAAGGGCGGCAAAATATACTTGGGTAGCAATTATTGTACTTGTGTGGGTAATGGTGTAATGGAAATGTAGACTTGCGCTGACATTTAACCTCATGTTTGTGTTTTCATTTCAGAGGAAGTCACCTATGAATACAGTACACCTGTAAGTAAATCTGGCCATGCAGGTTTTAGTTTTATTATTATTACTCGCCTTATAAATAAAGATAAATATTTGATGAAGACTGTTAGGGGGAAAATGTCCTTTTGCATGTCAGCTAGAATTTGTGGGTCTCCTAAACTTTTAGGTTGAGTGGCCAGTGTCTGAGAGATTTTGTTGCCTGATTTTGACAACAAAATAAAGTTATGTCAAGTAAATTATACTTATATTTATACAGACCACAATCACATGTGCATATGAAAAGGGACTTACTGCTCATTTGTTTTTCCAATCTTATTGAGGAGGGGTGTCCCATGGAAGGGCCTGAGATACAAATATAAATGAAACGTAATGTAAATTAAATGCAGTGTTTGTATCAACACTGGTGTAACACTTCATTACATCTGATCGCTGTTTGCCGTTTTGCAGGTCAGGGGTGAAAGTGCAGGAAACAGGTCAGTTCTCTCTAAGTCCTCCAATGTCAGCTCCAAACATTCGTCGCCTTTCTTATATTTCAGTAAACCAAATTGAAAAATAAAAACGTCTTCTTGTCTCTCTAGTGGCTCTTACATGAGGTCCAGACCAGAGTGGAGTGAGAGGGAATTTGAACATGAGTAAGTTGTATAAATATGTACATCTTTGCAGTAGTTGTTGTCTCAGTTGGTGAGAAGCTTCCACACGTTCTGTTTTATGTTACTCTCTGCAGGCAATCCTACTCAAGCTACTCACGGCCAACACCTGAATACAGAGGAAGGGATTTTGTTGATGAGTAAGTGTATTTATACAAAGTCAAATAGTGTCGGTTAAAATTAGCAAATTTGTTTGTGGCACCTTTTTTACTTTACTGCAAGTACCTTACTTGACTATTTCCATTTCATGCTACTTTATACTCCATTACATTTCAGAGGTAAATATTGTAATATTTACTGAATTTATTAGACAACTATAGTGACTGGTTACTTTAAAGATTAAGATTTTACATCCAAAATGTATGAGTTTATAAATTATGATGTGGTTTCCGACTAAACTACCCAACAGCATAATATATAAAGTTATACGAGTACCACCTCGACCAACTGCAACAGTAAAATGCTACGTACACATTAATGCATCAGTAATAACATTTGAATAATGTAAACTATAACGGTAACACTCACTTTACTTTTGACAAGTACATTTAGCCAATTATGTTTATATTTTTTTTGAATGTGCTCAAGGATAATTTACATTCTCTTTCAGGCCCAGCATGTACGACAAACCGTCGACTTACAGTAACTCCTACATGACACCGACACCCATGAAATCTCCAGAGGCTCCGAAGGCAGCGAAGTCATCTCGCCTCATCCCACTCTGGGTTCAGTTTGTGTTCTTCCTGGCTGTGGCAGCCTTCCTCTACTTAGTCTTTTCCAGTATGGAGTCAAATGATTCCCTCAAAGCAATAGAATGATTTTTTTTCGTTCATGCTCAGTGGATGTGGATATTATACAATTGTGTGGTTTAATTGGATGAATGTGTTTTGGTTGATGCCTTTATTTTAGACATTGCTGAGATTGGGCTGCAATTGAGATGCAATATTTTTATGCTTTATAGTTGCAGTATACTTGCTTGCTTATGTTTCTGGGTATAATAGTCAACCAGCATTACTATATGACCACTACTAGAAAAGATGAAGATGCCACTTTATTAGGACATATCACTCAGAAATACAGAGAAGCATTCTTCCTCTTACCTGGACAGATTCAGTGAGATCATCCACAGCTCCTCCACAGCACAATGCACCACTTCTTGCAGGGCTAAATATGTCAAGAAATTACATTACATTTCCAGATATTATGCCACAGTTGCATATTATATCTCCACAGATCTTGATGTCATTATCATAAGATGTCTGATATTTAGAAAGAGACATTTTGATGTTGACTAAGGTTTGTTTTTGCGTGTAAGGAATCTCAAACTGCAAGCAAAATGCCAGTCAACCCCATTTTATCGTCGTTAGCCTCAGTCAATTAAATATACTGGAAGTCTCAGCAATTCACAATGAATCTATCTGCATGGGAAGATCTCACCTTTTTTTAATCCACATCATACAAAAATTGGACACAAATCTCTCAGACTTCATAGGCCATTGTTTAAAATTGAGCTTCCATCAAGATAATTTGTCATTTCACCAAATTTTAATCAACTTTTAGATATATTTCTTAGCACTAAAATACATAGGACAGATTGGGTCCATGTTTCGAAACCAAACAAAACGGCTAAACTCGTGTCACAGTGCATTAATCAATCTGCTGTTGAGTATCAAAACACTGCTTCCATTTGTCAGTTAGAAATAAATATTAAAAAGTACAGTTTTCAGACCAGCTGTATTACAAGTGCCTAAGTGGTTTTGTAGGAATAATTGGGATTTAATTGGTTTTTTTTCAGCATTTAATAAGTAGTAACATTTTATCTTGGGTGAAAATATGGAATTGAACCATTTGTACAAGCTGTAATGACATGTTTATGCTTTGTTCCAGTCGAGATATTACATTTATATTATCCAACCTTTACATTCTGTAGAGTTTGATGTGATGTGTTTTGTATTGCTGTTACATAATTTCAACTATTAAAAGAGCTTGCATATGGAAACATTTGAAGCACCTAGTAATTTATTCAAAAGCAACAAAGTCTAAGCAATTGAGGACATAGAAATAAATGAATTATACTATGCATTACTGTGGCGACTGTGGTTTAGTGGAGAGCGGGGCCGTCCTACAATCAAAGGATCGGCGGTTCATGTCTCGCATGTCGATGTGTCCCCAAGACACTTAACCCCAAAGTTGTGCCTACGGTGTGTGTGAATGTTAGTCCTGATGGTGGGCATGTTAGCCCCTACCATCAGCATATGAATGATGACATGTAGTGTGAAAGCACTTTGAGTGGTTGCAAGTGCAGTCCATCTACTATTATGTTGAAAGATTTCCCTTCTTATGTCGTTGGATCTGGTGCGATAAATCAACCTACAGTTCATGCAGAAATATTTGTCAAACAAAACTCATTGAACCCAGAAGCTCCAACAACAGCACGTTTTAATGAACTACAGCTTCTATTAACTTCAAGTGCAGTGATCTACATATTGTAAATGACAGAAGATGCATTGGGTTAGATTTAAAATACAAAAACACTTTCTAATCCTTTAAGGATCATTGATCTGTGGAAGCGAGTACATAATAAGCTAGTGGAGCCCGTCTTTTGTGTTACTTGGTGATAAATAACAAATGTCCTACAATGCATTTACACAGACCTGAGGGATCTGCATCAGTTTCCCCAGTTTAGCTTTTAGTCACTCGACACATCTGGTGTCATGGCAGTAGCCAAATCTGAAGTCTAGCTGGAACCCCTACAGATATTGAACTGGAAATAATCTACTGTGGCTTTTAGTTCACATCTCATCGTAATAGAAGGCTTTAAAGCCAATCACATCCATTATTTCCCAGCAGTACCACTAGCCTGAAGTTTGGTGTGATGTAGGTCAATGTTAGTCCAGTAAAAACTGCCTTATCCAGACTACTGAACTGGGTCCAGGGGGTGCCTCTTTCCAGAGGTGGATGGATGACCGACCGAGCGGTTTGGTTCTGCGTTACGTCTCCTGCCGACTGAATCCACGATGGACGCTGTCCGAGCCCCCTGAACGTCCTCTCACTTGTGATTCTGCTAAAAGGATGAAACAAAATGCTTCACTTTAATTTACTAGTGTGGCACAAGTCAGAATACGCCCACGGACAATGACAAATCAAATATTACAGTACCTATAAAACACATTCACCCCTCCTTGCAAGTTTTCACTGAAACAACAATGAATCACAGTAGATTTAATGTGGATTTTTGACACTAACAAAAAAATCATTTGTTGAATAAAAACACTACAAATTGATCTAAATTAATTACGAAAACAAAATGCTTGAAAAATATATGTTATGTGTAACAATCATGACCTTCAATACCTTTAGTGATATGGTAGCCTGCATACCCCGTCATAGCTTGCTAATTGATAAGGCAACATAAGTGTTATCCACACCTGGAAGCAGAAGCACATCCATTAGTCCGGGCAGACATACAGGACGTTATCGAGAAAAGGGACAAAGGAACTTACAGGTTCTGGTCTCTCGCTCCAGTTCAGTGGGCTTCTTCTTGTTGTTGTTACACAGCACCTTGGCCACAATGATTAAAACGATGACAGCTACAACAAATGTCAGGCCGGACACAAGCCAGCTGATCACCATTGGACTCAGTACTGGATCTGGGTCTGAGGAGGGGAGGAGACGTTACATACAGGATGGGTTTTCATAAATGGGATTTCATCTACCGCTGCGGCTATGTGATTCAAATACAGTCGAAAACGAGAAACAGAAAAAAAATAAAAAAATCTGTACAGGAATATCTACATAGAATTTAAATGATAAATATTAATAATTTGGTGTCCTGTTTTTTTTAGGCAACACATACGTATGCTTTTCTTTACCAATGTTACTGATCTTTAATCTGTCTATCATACTATCAGTGTCACCTCTGATGGCTATAGGCAGGGGCTGGCTTTCTCTGGAGACAAAGGTGCGTCCACCCAGCTGGACCCGATACAGGCAGTAGTAGTATCCCTCGTTGGAGCTCTGGGCGTTGGGAAAGGTGAAAGTGACGGACGGGCTGAGGGCGGGCAGGGACTGGCGCACTGTGCCGTTGGAGCGGATCAGGCGCAGCTGGAAGGAACCTCCAGGGTACTGCTGCGGGGTGGAGCAGGTGATGTTAAAATTGTGGCCTTTAATGACGGAACCAGCCGGGGCTTCGGTGGACGTGTTGTACCAGTGTTGGGGAGTCAGGAGTTCCACTGTGATCGTTCAAAAAGGAATTGAATTGGTTATGGTATTCAGGGTAATACAGACATTTGGAGTGGGCACTGGTGCAACAGAGTTAGATAAGGCGATGCGGTTGTGACTCACCAACGGTGATGTTTATAGAGTTGCTTGGTGGGGAGCTCAGCAGCTGAGAGGGGAAGCCGCCCTTGATCCTGTAAAGACAACTGTAGCTGCCCTGGTGGAAAGTCTCTATGTCGGACAGTGTCAGCTCCACTTTGGTCTGGGTCTGGTCCGCCCTCTGTGTAACCAGTGGTGTAGACACTCCATGCTTGTACAGGTGGAAGTCACTGAGGTGGTGACCCAACAAAACACTGCAGCCAAAGCGAACAGCCTCGCCAGGAGAGAGCACAGTGTGAGGTGACAGGAGGGTGAGGGTGGGCATTAAAAGGGTACCTGTGAGTAAAGATTAATCACAAAATGTGAATCAGATCATGCAATTATAAAATGTAAATAAGGGTAGAGAGTAATCTCAGAAGAGATGGGTCCTCAAGTGAGTTTTGAAGACAGAGTGGGATTCTGCTGAGTTTGGGAACTCATTCCACCGCAGAAAAGAGTTTGGATGACAATTTCAGATTTCCTGAAAATTGTATGCAGTATGAATATGAATTTGTATGCATACATGTCCAACTGGTCACTGACCAGAGTAGCCTCTATGAATCAACCCAGCAGAAATCACTCAACCATCTCGCACTGCTCCTTGATGGATAAAACGCGTGAACAGAGTGGGCTGTCACCTGAGCATTTCACCCCTGCATCATTCTCATGGGTGCAGTAGGTGCTACTGTGAATAATGACAGCACAGCGTGTCAAACTGGCCTCGTGTCCGGAGCACTGGACATGGCGCAGCCAGATCTCTCCACTGCCTGCACCAAACATTGCACCATGAAGGGCAGATTCAGCTAAGCCACAGCCCAGCTCCAGGCACACCACATTAGCCTCCCGGAGGTCCCAGCTATGGTCGCACACAGTCCCCCACCGGCCATGGCGGAGCACCTCAACTCTGCCAGAACAATTGTTCTCCCCGTCCACTAGTCTGACCCCACCTGTGGATCAGAGAAAAATCACTTAGAGACAGAGAGAGTGGGACCAGCTATGGATGCAACAGGTTTATATCAATCCCAGGCATACCAAAAGCAGCAACTCCATCCCACAGAACACCCAACAGGCCTGTGAGGAAATTACAAACAAAAAATACAGATTAAAATCCATTAGAAATGTCAACTATTAACATTCAGTCGCTAATTCATTAGGTACACCTAACATTACACTAACTAATATGATCTAATACAACACTGCTGCATTGAATGCCCCCTTTATCAGTGTGTTCAGTTTCGGTTGAAAGAAGTGAGAAGAGTCGATTCAACTTTATAGTTATTTTCAAAGGCTGTAGTTTGAGATTTTCACCTTGTTCACCCCATTTAGCCATGGCATGAGCTTGACCAAAATATCATAATACCCCTCAAAACAATACAACAGCACCACAACCCAAAATAACCATACATTAGTAACAGCACCTCTCTACAACAACCACTGAACATCATAACCTTAATGAGGGTAACATTTATTACAGGGCTGTTGTATTGGACTGCTTTACTTTGAGCTCACGTTTGATGGCCCCAATAAACAGATACAAGATGATGGCGTTTTTTCTTTACAATGTATTAGTACGCTAACCAAAGGAATTGTGCTAACTTAAGTAAAATTATCCTGTTGCATAATCACATGAACCATAAGCTATCGTTAACGTTACATATGTTAGATGGTCCTGCGTCAGAGGTGGCGTTAATTGACGAACGAGCGTAACCACCCGTTATTAGCTTACCGGTTAAAGGGATGTGGAGGAACCTCAGCATGGCTCCCCTCACCCTTCCATCAGACGGCTGGGTGGTCAGGGTGCCCGTTGTGGTGATGACGCAGACAGCCGCTGAAAGCTAGTGACCGAACAAAACATTAGCTAGCTTGTGTGCTACAAAGGGTCAGCTCGGCTAACTAAGTAACGTTCGACAAACAGCTAACGGCTAGCTACGTAACTTAACCCAACTGACTCTGACGGGGCCGGGGTGCAAAGACATTATACTAATACGAATGCAGTGTGGCAAACAGTTAATTATTGTCACCAGAAGAAAGTGAAGCTGCTGATGAGTCCGGTTGGCTGTCAACATTACACGACGTACACTGTCAGGATAACGTTGTGAAAATAAAAGTATTCGCCGTTAGGCCACCATCCTCCTCACGTCGCCCATTCGGGAGTTCCGGAGCTGAGCAGTGGAGCCGTTCTCCCTGCGGCAGACAGAGGTCACCACAGCCGCATTTAAACCCACTAATGTCTCCTTGGAGGGTCATTACTCGGTAGAGGGCAGTAGCTACAATTAGAAAATGTATTTCCTGCAGAAAATGCGTTTGAAAGCTGAAATGATTCGCAAGAAATTGCTGAAAATACAGAAATGGGAGACTACCTGTCTGAAAAATGTTGAAGGCCAAAAGCATTGACCTGCACTGCTGAAAACCCTTCTAGTTGAAATGTTTAACTGGCAGAGTTGGAAGCTAAACTGTATTATCTAAAGAAGCTAAGAGCTGAATTACAATGCAGGAAAAACTAAGTAATATTAGTAAAAGTAGTAGTAGTAGTGGTTGTAGTAGTAATAGTTGCAGAACTATTAGGAGTAGTAGGAGTAGCAGTTTAATTTAATTTAACATAATTTGAATAGGCCTACATAAAGTAAAGGGACACTGTTGCATTGTCAAAGGTGAGAATACAAATCATTTAGTCCTTTCCCTTTTTTAAATTAAAATTTGACAAAGTTGAATTGTCTTTTCGAGAGGTTCTGATTGGATTTCTTTATTTGTAATGTGAACTTGGACAGGTCGTGTTTATTAACTGTGGCTGTATTTTATTTCAGCACCCAGAGGAAGGCTTTTAGCTGAAACACATTGCATGTCAAGAAATAGAAAAGAAAATACACAACCCTTGTTCTGTGCAAAAAAATACATTCTTAAACTCAGTTGAGGCTTCAGCACTGAGTCAACAAAATCAAGTTGATGTCTTTCGCAAAATAATGAATTCTGCAATTAATTCTTTTTATACTTACTTTAGGTCTATATGTTTAGCATTAAATATTATATTGTATCTTTATCAAGGACGTAAAGGCTTAAATTACAAAGTTACAGCCTTATTAGTACAAAATCTCTGTTTGCCTACTATTCCTGTACCAGGGCTGGGCAAGGAAACATTTTACACTATAAAGGGATTTTATACTATAAAGAACAATTGTTGTAACATTTAGTAACCATCTATGAGGAAGTGAAAGAACAACAGAAGAGATTGTTCACAACCTGGCAGCCTAAAGGTGTTACCTTGTTGTAGGTTAAACAGTTCAGAGTGTGGGAAGAACAGCCGGAAAAGGGTGACCAGCACCTCCTTCACTATTGTAGACACAGATAGCCATCCAAAGAATTATCTATAACACAATTCTCCTGCTGCAATCCTCCCACATGCTCCCCTCTTTTTGCCATGAGCCTGTTCTTCCAAGACGGAAAGGACAATGTGAATGAATCACTCAAAAACCACATCAGAAAGAAGACATATGTGCTGATTCATGTCGGAGATGTGAAATCTTTTCACACGCCAAGTGACTAACCCAATGAAATCCCATTTCCTGGTCAGAGATGACTAGGCTTTCCTTTGGCTTAGGGTGTTTTTTCCTTCCTCGTTTGTAGTCTAACCAAATGGGTTTGCATTTTCAGTCGCTCATTTGCGTCCATGATAGACCACAAGTCATTTAGAACAGAGCCACTTCCTCTGAGTCAGGCCCTGGCATGGAGAGCTGGTGAAGGCAGTGGGCAAAAATAATTGATATCCTGAAAAGTCTGAAAGAGAACTGCGACTTGGCTGAAGATATATTTTCCATTCAAACCACAGAGGCTGCAAAGCCAAGAGGTTGGAGTCGTGGAAATGACCGAATCGGAGTCTATAGACCTCAATCCAACCCGGAATTTGTAGGACTGGAAAATTGTTGAATCGTGAATCCTTTACAATTTGACGTCATCAATTTTACGAAAAATAGACTTTTTTTTTTTACACTGATTCAAGTCTGTAATTGCTGCCTACGGTGCCTTTATAATTCAACACCAACTTTAAGGTGAATACTTCCACATCCATCCATTTATATTTGTACTTCATTTAGCTCAATGTGTACACATTTCCTTTCACTTTGGCATCAAATAATGTTTTGTTTTTTTTAATCTTGCTCAAGGTGATAAAAGATGAGCTCTACTGATTCAAAGTTGTAAAAATAAGTACAAAAATGTCCACGGGGTGATTCTTTTTTTTTATAGACATATGTGGAAGACTGTACGTGAGGCAGCCATTACTAAATAAAGGTAACAATGTCAGCAACCTAAATTAACTGGACGAAAGTGAACAGAAAACACATCTTGATGTTCAGTCGAAGCATAAAGCATGTTTCAAATAGAGAGCAGAGTCTGTACGGCACGTTTTAGGTTGGAGACATTTAGAATAATCCTAAAAGTGGGATGAACTCCTTTAAGAAAGCTCTGAAGACACCTTTTTCCTCCAAAAATAGTTTCCAGCAAAATCTCGGCGTCATCACCGACTAGAAATTCTCAAATCAAACTGAATATTTGGACTTCAGAACAGAACCAGCCAACTAGTCCCTTGTGCTTTCATCACAGTAATTGTACATTTTTGTAATAATGAAATCATTTCTTCAGTATTTGGGTGAATAAACGATATTGTTTTTTGATGCATTTTACTGAGCCATTGGTCAAACAGGCATCCAAGTTCTCATTATATTGTAAAAGGTGACTATCTTTTTTCCACAAAGAAAACATACAGATAAGCCTGCATGTATGTATATATATATATATATATATATATTAATGAAAAATATGATACATTTCTCTGTAAATCAAACTTCAAAACCAGTGAATTTGTGAAACAGAAAAACTCAAAATGATTGGTGGTCATTACATTTCAAGGAGCAGCACTAACAGTAGCACTTCATCTGAATTGCCAAAAGAGTCAACCTGTGCAATGTCTGCTGGTACATTTACCACCGATAAAATGGGAACAAACAATGCCATAAAAGAAATACAATAATTTAGTTAACTTAACACTAGTTCTCTAAGAAGATGACCTTTTTTTCACAGGATTGGAGTTTCAATTGAAGTACCATGACTTCTTCAGTTGTTTTGATAAACTCCTAACAACAAGCTTTCAATAAAACAATGTGTTTAGCTCTTTGGATAACGGTACAACCTGCTTCAGCTCCACCATAAAAGTCTCTGTAGCGCCACATTAAATAAAATGTATGTACTGCATTTTCAAAAGTCGTTTGCCCAGCAGGTTTTGGGGTTTTGTGTGGCATCCATTGTTTGTCAGGATCCCAACTATCCAGCATTTTTTCTTCACTTTGATTCTCCAAGAAGATGGACAATGAGTTCATACGTGGAGAGGACAATGGCTGTGTTGGGGATTTGTCTAATTAGCTGTGGAACGAGTCCTCTATAAAAAGCTGCATAGCCTTCCTCCACAGCTATTAACCTCCCCGTCTGGAAGAAATACTTGTACTTGCTGCCTTCCTCACGCAGCCTTGTCCGAATTACCTCTGTGGAGACAAAAAAATAGTATTAGTCATATAGACAAATACATCTTCCTGACATTAGGTTGTTGTGTTGCAAGAGACAAACAACGGATGTTAGTGCTTACCGTGTGGATAGGCTATGCAGGACGCACAACCCTTTGAAAAAGCAGCAGCCATCATCAGGCCCAGGAAGTCGGATGCCCCTTTCTCCTTTTCACCATTTGAGGAGGCGAATTGGCGCTCGGCGAGGCGTTTCTTCAGTGTCTCGTAGATGAGGAAGCAGATCATGGTCTCCGAGATGCCAGCATAAGATGCAGTCAAGCCTCGGTAGAAGCCCCGAATTCCTTCCATTTTGTAAACATATCGGGCGCACTGCAGTGCATTCATCTTCTTCTCTCCTCTGGCTCTAAAGAGGAGAAACGGTCAGACTCAGTGCCAAAATCACATTTGGTGGGAAGGTTGAAACAACAGCTATTCTAACTGTTAATGATCATTATCTGTTTTTTGTTTCAGTGATTAATCAACTTTCAGCCCTTTGAGGAAGTATGTAACCCCCTGGAGTTTCCTTATTGAGTTGAATGAGTATCTAGTATAGTGGTCACTGAATTCTGTGCCACAGGACAGGTGTTCTTTACAGACAGATCTGTTCCTGAGTCCTCACATGATACTACTGCCCTGTACTCTGTAGTGTAAATATAGACTCTTCTTCTGCACGCAGGACAGTGCGTCAGCACTGTGTATTTATGGAGCCGGGTCACACGCTCAGTCTCACAATCTGCACAAGGACACCATCGTGGAGGTCTGTTAAAGGTTTCTGTTAAAGGTCACATTATATGGAGTAATTTACCCTAAAATAAGTCAGATTGTTCTACACAGCCCTAACACAGAATACTAGAGCTAAAATATGAGTACACACATGATAGGTGAAATTAGGAGTGTACACACTTTTTCTCCAGCTGCATTCTGGTCTTGACCATCCAGATGGGGTTCATTATAGAGTTAGTAACGAAAGCTGAGAGCAGAGGGGTCAAGAAGCACATTCAGTTTTACACTGCAGTTCAATATAAGATTAATTTCATCCCCTCAATTTAACTCATAACATCTGTAAAAAAAAAAAAAATACTGCAGTCAGAAATATTGGCCTTGTAATGATTGACCTTTTGAAGTCTGTTTTTATATTCAAAAATGCTATGGAGGCATTCTGTTATGTCATCCACAGGGTAGACAAAGCATACGCTTTAGCAATACTGTTTTTGCAGGGCCCTGGATTGCATTACATGTTACAGCTGTTTATAAGCATGTAAACAAAGGCTAACATGCAGACTGCTCACCTGCAACACCAGCAGAGGACATGTGCACCACTCCACTATTAGGGACAAACAGCCCATTGAATGTCTCTTTAGCTTTCGAGTATGCAGCAAAGTAAATGGCTCTGAAACACAGAGAACAAACGGGTGAGGACTCTACACAGAAGCAGCTATAAAGAATTAGAACACAGTGATTAAATGAATGCATTTCAATATGTGAACTGGGCAATTCTGCAAAAAAAAAAAAAAAAAGTCCATTTGGACTTGTGTTGGGCCTTTGGCAGAGTGCATCCAGAGCAGTCTGTTTCCCAATGCCTGTTCTCTCTACTTCTGGAACAAACTGCCACTGCACCAGAATGGGCTGAATAAGCACCACAGATGCCCACAGGGCTGCCCTGAATGTGAGCCTGTGCAAGCTGGCCAGTGGAATAGAGCGACAGTGGAATCACTGGGCGAAGGATCATGCTGCAGCTACTCATTAACCATGTGGGGAAAGCATACGTAACCTATGAACCTTTTTCAGTTTAACGCAGTCTCAAAGTCTAAATCAACATTTTATGGGAAATGCATCAGGACTGTTCATTTTACGGTTTTATTGAGTTTAGATTATGAACCACGAGAAAACATGCCAACGGCCGGACTATTTGTTGACACTACAAAATAAACGGTGAAAATGAAACAATATGTACCTACATAATATTGAACTTTTGTTTTGACTTAAGGCAGATCAGTTACTATCAAGCCATCGTCAGAACCATGTGCGATACTTTAGTGTCACAGAGTTAAACAAACAGTGTTCCTTTTTTGTATTTTATGTTGTGTTAAGTTTGATCAAATACAAGTACAGAGGACTCGTGTTTTGCCACATCAAAACAACAGACTTTACAGAGAAACACACTCTCTGCCACCTTCTTGGCCTCTGCTTTGTTTATTGTTTTTGAATATCACTTCAATGTGCGTCATCAATAACCTGTGGCAGGTACTCATTAACACAGAGACTGCCATAGGGTCAGGACTTTGTTAAATAAAACTGCAATGGGTGGGGATGGTGGCGAGACTGAGTGCAGACACTGATTTAACTGTACCTTGACGGGGCCACACCAACAAGATTCGGCCCCAGACCACGGAAAAGTGATCTTGGTCCCTCTTTTTCTAGTATAGACCTGAAACAAAAGAAAAATAGTGTTTTGATTGGTGGTTGAGTTTACATACAGTTGTGTGAAAAAGTGTTTGCCCCCTTCCTGATTTCTTATTTTTTTGCACGTTTGTCACTTTAATGTTTCAGATCATCAAACAAATTTAAATATTAGACAAAGATAACACAAGTAAACACAAAATGCAGTTTTTAAATGAAGGTTTTTATTATTAAGGGGGAAACAAAAATCCAAACCTACATGGCCCTGTGTGAAAAAGTGATTCCCCCCCCTGTTAAAACATAAATTAACTGTGGTTTATCACATCTTTGGAAAGCTGAGTTCAATTTCTCTAGCCACACCCAGGCCTGATTACTGCCACACCTGTTCTCAATCAAGAAATCACTTAAATAGGACCTGCCTGACAAAGTGAGGTAGACCAAAAGATCCTCAAAAGCTAGACATCATGCTGCGATCCAAAGAAATTCAGGAACAAATGAGAAACAAAGTAATTGAGATCTATCAGTCTATAAAAGGTTACAAAGCCATTTCTAAAGCTTTGGGACTCCAGCGAACCACAGTGAGAGCCATTATCCACAAATGGCGAAAACATGGAACAGTGGTGAACCTTCCCAGGAGTGGCCGGCTGACCAAAATTACCCCAAGAGCGCAGCGACGACTCATCCAAGAGGTCACAAATGACCCCAGAACAACATCCAAAGAACTGCAGGCCTCACTTGCCTCAATTAAGGTCAGTGTTCATGACTCCACCATAAGAAAGAGACTGGGCAAAAATGGCCTGCATGGCAGAGTTCCAAGACGAAAACCACTGCTGAGCAAAAAGAACATAAAGGCTCGTCTCAGTTTTGCCAGAAAACATCTTGATGATCCCCAAGACTTTTGGGAAAATACTCTGTGGACTGACGAGACAAAAGTTGAACTTTTTGGAAGGTGTATGTCCCATTACATCTGGCGTAAACGTAACACGGCATTTCAGAAAAAGAACATCATACCAACAGTAAAATATGGTGGTGGTAGTGTGATGGTCTGGGGTACAGAAAAGGTCAGTGTAGGACTGACCCCACCATTTCTATTGTGGGAATGAGTACGACAGCTCCCGCAGCGAAGTGTTTCGCCAGTTCTGTTCATTTGAGCCAGTTTAACCAAGTGTATACACGAGACCCAGACCTCTCTGCAGTGACCTGTCACGTCGGCCACGTCCCCACAAGGTTTTTTTTAAACTCTTTGTAGGGAGTTAACTTCACTCGCTAGATGATATTCAGGTCTGTCTGGGGCTACGCAGAGGGAGAGGGTGAAACTGCAATTTGTGTTGGCGTCTGTAATGCGAACCTGTCAAGCAGTGTGCACGCATTCCACCTCTCTCTCACCGATACCCGGACACCTTAACAACAATGAGTTTAAACACAATAATGCAGTGCTCACTACTGAGGTTTCAATCACTTGGAGAAGAGGTTTTATGTCTAGAAATAGTTTTGCATAAATATAAGCCTGTAAATACAAAGACAATTCCTCAACAGCTCTGAAAAATCAAATTGTATGAACTACGGTAAGTTTACAAGAAAATGTGTACATATAATTGTTTGGGGCTTTTGAAATATATATGTAATATGCATATTGATATATAACTTTAACAGCAACAGCTGACCAGTCCAGACTAGTTCAGCCCTCTAGTGTAATACGACTCTGAGCACCCTGGATAAAACCTCCCCTTCTTCATCTTGGCCCACTGGGGCTGCTTTTAGTTCTTACCAACCTAAGCAAAGTCATAAAAAGGCTACTTTCATGGACAACACACCAAAAAAACATGTGCCACAATGTGCCCCAAACAGCTGGTTAAAGACACCAAACAGGAGGGTCCAGATCCTCACGTTATGTAGGATTTGAGGTCTGAATTTTAAGACCAAAGTAATTTCATGGACTAAATCAAAAGAACAGCACATGACTTAATACAACTATTCCAAAAATATATATATTACATATACACATATATTATAATTCGTAATGTCAACACATCAGTTACGCTTAATCGTTGAGGTCTTCGCGGGGTAAAAGTCAGCAGGGCGTCACTTTGTAACTATAATAGGTAGCCAGCTTACAATAATGACAGTCCCTTTAGGGTAGTCCCACTAAGGAGAGAGTGCAACTGTGTGTACCTTTGTTTGCAGTTAGAAAAATGCAATTACCTCAAGTAACAGCCAACACATCAAAGACAAACGTCTTACCGTAGAACCTGAAGAAGCCCTGGAGTAACTGTACCCGGTCGAATAACTCCAGTGCCGCTGAGGGTGCCCAGATGGACCTGGAAGACGGGTCGAAGGGCGAGACCAGAAGACTGCAACCGTGTTTTCAACACCTCCAGGGGGCAGGTCACGATGGCTCCCACCGTACCACTACATCTGCAAATTGATAATAATACAAAAAAGTAAGGATTATGGACTTTCGAGTGTTTTACATTGTACAAGCAAATAGATGAACGTAACCTAAGTAGAGTGGGTTTTCTATTTGCAAGGATACTCATATTGGCTTTGACTGAGCAGAGTGTTCTTCCATCATAACAAAGCCGAGGAGCTATGGCCGAGTGCAATGAACAAGTATGGTCAAAGACCGGTCTCTGGCTGTGCAATGGAAATACTCAGAGTTAACCCAACACATCTGGTGCAGAGGGTTATATGGCTCAGACACTTTAATTGCACTTGGACGGAGTCATTTGCCTGTTTTATTTATGCCAGTTTTCCTATTCCAGCAAAACAAATGCATTCATTTAGTGATCTACAGTTCAAATTGGTACATCCTTTATCAACTGTGTCTGTAAACATATCGGTGACAAGCTTAGAAGTTTGGAAGGGATCAGACTATGCCTCTGTGCCAGTTGTGATGTGAGGACAGAGTCAAACATCTCAGCAAAAGCAACACCTGACACAATTACATCAATGATTATTTAACACCTGTCCGCCCATATCCGAGTGCTTTGTTATTGAATTACAGACATGGAATCATAGTCAGTGTTACAGGATTTTCCATGTTCCATAACCTAATTTGACAAACATGCAACTATGATGACACAATGCGGTGTTGAATTGTCGTGGCCATGACCTGTAGCCACAAAGTTAAGAAATCCAGGCTGCGAATGCAAGAGAGTGGGCCCTCTGAAAAGGACCAGTGTGTTTGTAGTATTACATCGTGTGCATTACGTATTGCTCTCGTTAGTATTTCGACCACAGGCTGCTCTACGAGTTCGGCTGGTTTTGAGTAACTGTTACCTCGAGAGATAAACACACATCTCTCCAAGGTTCCACATACTGGACGTTTTAATACTGCCTGCAGTTAAACAAAGCAGTCAACATCATCATCGTCGTATTATTATACAGTTGACTCATTTCTCATTTAGCCAAACTGAGTTGAGCTAGCGTTAGCTAACTTAAAAGCTCATTATAACATTTCAAGGGTGAAATGGCGTCATTTTAACAAGCCGGTGCTTTTTAAACGCGGCTTTAACATCACAGGCCTTAATGTCATTATGAGGAGCTTAGCTAGCATCGCCAGCATGAACGTCTCCACTTTAAACGTTGCATAACGCCAAAGGACATCGCATAAGGTTAGCTAAAGCCCGCCGGCATCTCTTATGACCGCGCCACCTTCACAGTCTTGTATTACACATATTAGCGTCATTTCTAACGCAGTGTGTCATCTTACATCGCGTTGTAACTCACAACACGAATACGACCTTCCAGACCAGACAGTTATCTCGCTAGCTAACTGTAGCTAGCAGGTGTTAGCAAACTTCCACACGGATGTACCGCGGGCTCTTTGTCCACGACAACAACGTTATTTAATAACTAGTTTAAGATGAAGAAGTTAATGTTGTAGTGAGTTGTTATTTCGTCTCGTCCGTTTACAGCAGAATTGAGAACGTAGTCAAACAAACGTCTCCTGTGTTGAATGCGGCAGATTGTGCTATGCTAACACGAGCTAGCTCGGATACCCTTAGCATGCTGACTCTCTAATGCCGAGAACGCGTTAGATTAACGAGTCATTTATACGTGGATACTCAAATGTACTTATGTGACAAACATCGCATAACCCAATGTCGTGTTACATGAACCTCTGAGCTATTAATAACGTTACTCTGGTTAGGAGCAGTAACATTAATGAGACTTACCCCCCTGCAAAGAGATTCAGCAGAGTGTCTGTGTGTGCCATCCTTTTCTTTTTCAAACAGCCACCATACTCGTGTCGTGTCGCTTGTTCAAATCTCTTTGGTTCAAAGAGAAGGAGAAGAACAACGGCTGTATGATCCCCACGTGAGTGTCTGTCTGTCTGTCTCTACCCGGCTCGGTGGAGCGGCAGTGGTTGACCTCAGCAACTGCTCACGGTTTACGTCAGGGGCCGGACGGGGGTGTTGTCCGTGACGTAGGGACACGTGCTCACTGCCGTAAGCGATTGATCTTTTCTCTCATGTTGATGGACAATTATTACCAGCAACAAAGATGAACAAAACAACAGGAGAACAACACTTTGTACCTCCGAGTTCCTCCTGACCTTCACTGGTTTCAGTGTAAATTTTCACTCTGCACGATTGACAAATAGTATTCAATGAATTAGTCTTAAAATGAGATATCATTAAATATAGAGACTAAAATGTCTTCAAAAACTTTTTTAAACTAAAAAACACTAGATTTTTTCACACTTCACTTGTGAAGTAGATATGAATAATAAGAATGCGACATAATGAGAATAAAAACTTTATGAAACTGAGAAAAAAGGTTTCTCAGTGAAGTCTGGTTGGGAACAGACCGATTGTCTTTTTTGACTTTCCATCAAACTATTATTGGCTGTTCCTACTCTGACAGGAAATGGATGGTCACATCTTTTTAGAAAGGAAGATCACAGAACAACAGGGCCTTTGATTTTCTTGAAATATGACTCCATGCCTGATTGTGTGACATAATAGACATGTGATGTGCTGTACACCAATGAGCGGTGAGTAATACAAGTTGGTATGCTGTCACCCTGTTGAGGCTATAAATCTACAAAAAAATAATAGTACTTCGTTTGTTCTTTTGTCTGTGCAATAACATCTTTGTCATTATATCAAAATTGTCTAGTCAAACCAGCTGCACTTTCTTTTTGTCCTGTTTGAAATCATAACAGGTTTGTCATCGCGTGTTAACATAGGCCTACATTATTAACATGTAAACAAACATGTGCTTGAGCAATAAATTGCATTTCACTTATTGCAAAACAGGTTTTGGGTGTCCTTTATATGAGTCACCAACATGAAATGCTTCTGTAATTGAACTTTCAACTGGCAAATGTATTTTAAAGTTAAAGTAACTATGTACATTTACTTCAGTATTGTACTTAAAGTTACTGTGAGGAACTTTTCACTGGTTATAAAACAGTCTCAATTTAGTACTTAGGTCTCTACACGAGTAAACAAGACCACCAGTGAGAAGATTGGCCATTTCTATATAGTTATTCTCAATGCTCGTCACTGGTGCCACCAGATCAGATTATGCGCATAATCAGACAAAATTGCGCAGGTTCACCAGAAACTCCTTCAGTTCAGACTCGAGCACGGCCTCAAGCAGCAACCAGCCCCAGATCCGGCTTCGCTCCTCCTCAGCAGCTCCTCCTCCGGCCAGGAGCAGAGCATTACCCCGCTGCTGCGCCAGTCCCCGCTGGGAGCCAACAACCGGGACCAGGTCTGCGAGGGGCCTGCTATCTGACTCTGCTGCAGTAAAAGGGTGCTCAGTAACAGTAATGCTTTTGTCCATGGGGACCGTCAAAACGAACGCAAACTTAAAGTTCGTTGTAGTAGCTATGGCAAACTGGAAGATTTTAATTTAAATAAATAAAGCCCCGTGTATCGCTGAAGGAGGTAACACAACGGGGAATGAGCCTACGGCCTACTGATGAAAGTATTAATTAAGAACGAGGTGTCTGTGGCGACATTCCCCGGAAAAGCTGCTGTATTACAGTTTTTACGCACACAATGCTGAAAAATAGCATGTTAATATGGAATTTCAGACACAGCCCAAGACTCCACACTGCTAAACTCAAAGCACACTTTCTTTGTTTTCACTCAAATAGAAATTCTAAATCCACCAGGGCTGAAATCTTAAGGATTGCCACTTTAAGTACAAATCTGAGATATTTATGGCATGTACTACACAAATGTGTCGAGCAGGATTTAGCTTTTTCTTCTTTCCTGCACCATAAATCATCTCATCACCTAATAACCACCTCCCTCCACCTCGACCAGCTACAACTGTACAAAGCTGCTTACACATTGTTGCATTTATATTATGAGATCAGTCCAAAGGGCAAGGAGTACTTTAACTGTGATACTTTCAGTACATTTGTTTCTAATAATACTTCTCAAGATAAGCGAAGATACAACTTGATTTATCCTGAGCAGCAGTTGCAGTACAGTGTAGGAAGAGTGCAAATATATAAAATAAAAGTCTAACAAGTAAAATCTTGAATGCAGGACGTATAATGGAGTACTTCTACATTGTTGTATTGGTACTCTTTCTCAGTCACACAAGGAATTAATGCTCAACAATGGGACCGGATGATCTTCACTGGTTGTTATGGTTTTATAGTAAGTTGGAAATGCTGACACCATGTGACCAAATATGAAACATACAGCTGGAGAACAGCTCTGCCTTTAGCTTTAATTCTCTTGTCACTTAAATTCATTTTTTAAACCATTATCGTGTTATTTTTGAACTACTGGCATTGTTAAATTACAGCTGCAACTTAGATCCCAATGGGGTTGCTGGGTACTTTAAAAAACACTGTTTCTTTGAGTCAGCTGCTGAACACAACATACGTGTGTACGTGTGTGTGTGTGTGTGTGTGTGTGTGTGCAAATAAATTTAGCTGAACCTAATCCTGTGCCTCATATAAAAAGCTAAACCATTGCAGGGATTAAAGTGCCTCACTTACTGTATCAGCGAAACTGCCAAAGTAATTGGAGAGTGGTGCACAGTGAGAGAGAGACCCCCCCCCCCCCCACCCACACCACTCCCTGCTCCCATCAGTATTTGTTCCCACTGGTGCCGGGCTAAAGTACAGTTAAATATATTTCATTTTGAAAGCTTAGAACTTGTTTGCCTTACCTCCAGTGGTATCTCAGGGGAAGTCTGCTAGTCTGCCAATATTTTTTGATTGGCAACATTCACTGACATTTTACGATACAAAAACGAGGTAGTCACGCTTAAATGGTCGCTCTCATATCTACTTTATTCTACATTATTTTAAAGTTTAAAGTGTGATTAAGGTGTTTTTAAAGTGTGTATGCTCATCTCGTTTTTGCAACTTAGTGTAACCCAATGTATTATAATATCCCTGCTATTTAGATACTGCTTTTTAATTAGCTTATAACCTTTTTGAAGGGATAGTTGGTGCCATTTTATTATTTTAAACATGTATTGTATTCATCACATGTAGCTGGTTGCTTGGGAACATTTTTCAAAGTATTTCCTAACTACATACACAAGACAAAAAAAATAATAGGAAATAAATTGAATCTACGCATAAAATGCACTGTAACAACTGTAAATGAAATAGAAGCAGCAAGCAAGGAGGAAACAAGTTTTAGAGCAGAGGACATATAGCCACCTTAAGTTGTGGCTCAACATCTCACCGGCTTTCAGACAGGAAGGAGTTCCCTTCTGGAAAGAACGTCTAAAGAGGGTCCTCCTGTACTATTTATGGTCCCAAAGTCAGGGGTCAAATTATTCTGTTCCTGTATAAATAATAGTGTTGTTCAGCTCAGAGGCCAAGACCAGTTAAAGACTTTTACATGGTGAATACTATGCGTCTAGCCTGTGTGTGCGTGTTCAAATTCACTGCAAATTTCTGCAAGCACTGAAACTGTTACAGTAGTTGTATTTTATTTTACACTTTTTGTTTAATATCTTTATTTGAATGCCTTTTATGTCTTAAGTAAACAACTTTGAATTAACTTGAAATGCAAAGAAAAGCATTCCTCGACAGGTTGAAGACCCTGCACATCCACACAGGTGCTATTAATTATTGTGGCCTATTAGACCACTGATCAGGTTGAGTAAGGTCACCAAACTCCATGGGTGCTTTTCAATACGCTAACTTATGCTTCCTCGCATCCCCTCGCCTCGCTTGGCCCCCTTCGTCATCATGGAGGGTTTTCCAATCCCTTAAAAAGGCATCTCGCCAAGACTAGGATAGAGGAAAGAGGAGGCTTCTGGAGGAGCTGAGACCGAGGAAACACCAGTGTATCCTTTGCTGAAATTTCCAGCACTCTACAAACGGCTTTTTGTTTTCATAACATGTAGTTATTTAGATGATCAAATGGTTGATCCTACTTTCTGCCTTCAGTTTGGATAGTGCATCGTAAAGCTTTGTTCTAACCACATTCCTTGGCCACGTTTCACCTTGATATAACTTTTAATACATTTTTTAAAACATTTGTAATGCCTCACAAAATAAAATATATAAAAGCTATTCCATCTTTATATTTCAAAAATAATAGTAAGTGTACAAGTTGCCACGAACACTATCATGCTCATCTGAGAGATCATAAAATGATGCTGAGCCATACGTTACATTTAATTTACATTTTAAAATGACAACTCGGAAGCAAGGATGTCTGATCTGTTAAATGCCCGTTGTCTCAACTCTTCTGCCCTTACCTCTTCCGCTCGCATCTCTCCTAGGCCGGACTAAGACGCAAGGAGAGGAGGCGAGGAGAGACATTAACATATTGAAAAGCACCCAATGTACTCATTGCCCCCCCAGTAAGAAAACCACAGGTGTCACTAATACACATTACCAGGACCCTGAAACTGAAGCAGCTGAATGTTATTCTGCCAGTACCAAACAACTTCAAATATACCGTATGAACTCCATCTGATGGAATTTCACTTTAGGTTAAATACTCCATATCATCTCTTGAAGTCATCATTTGAAGCATGTAATGATTTTTGCCTAAATAGAGCAACTAATATTGCATCCGTCCCCTGTAGCGTGTTCACATTTTCATAGTGGATTCCTGTACAATGCACAACACACAATATATACTTTGAAATAAACTTTAATAGATACATACAAACCTACAACAGGGAATACAAATAAAATGGAAGTTGGAATCAAAGAAAATAGCATGAGGCACAGTGTGTCCACATCCAGCTGAGCGCTGAATACAGATGTCTGCACATTTAAAAATACTAGTTAACAGGTCTATGATATGGCATTGGACAATATATTGCCAATTACATTTGTGCAGCACTTTGTAGATTGTCTTTTTCTCTTGTTATGGTGCCCTAAATCTGAAGTTTGTGGATTCAGGCACAACGCCGCCCACCTACATAGTTTCCCCCCCTTTACATGTCAAATAACACAAACACTACAGCCAGAGTTCTCAGCTATGTGCCAGTGAGACCCAAGAGCAGCAGGTTGTCCTTACAAAGAACCACGTCAGTGGATATTTCATTGGTTAGTTTCCATTCTCTGGCTGAATATGTGCAAACCAGTGAAATCAGCTGATGGCAAGACTAGGTGAATAAAAAAAAACAACAAAGCACTCTTGGGCCCCGACCGCATGTGGTTGAAAACTACTGCACTACGAAAAGCAGGAGTGACAGAAAAGATTTATTTTTATTTTTTTTAAAAAGATGTGATTGTATTGAGAAAGATTTCCTGCAGATGCATGCTACAAATAATCACAGTGACATTAACCTTACGTTAAAATTTCTGCTGTGGACGTTCCCGTCGGATGCCTTGATGGTGAGCAATGGGGCACGCTTCCATAATCACAGAGAAACCCCGAGTACAGCGAGAGGTCGGAGCTGCTCTACAGCTGCCTCACAGTGCATTCATCCACGCTGCACTACAGACTTACCATGGAGTGGTCAGCACCTCCTTTATGTGTTGTGTGAACCACAAATTTATTAAACACCCATTTAAAAACCATGATTTCTTAAAAACAACTAGGATTTCATGTTAGAATATCATTTGAGAGGATGTACAGATGTGTGTGCTGCCACCTTGTGGTCAGATGCTGGCAGTGCTTTGTGCACTAACTCAAAAGTTTAATTTCCATCACACAAATTTTGTTGTAGCACAACCAATAACATCAATTTAAAAAGGCTACTAGATAGAAATTCATAATAATAAAGTCACAGCAGAGATACCGACCACAAATGCCACATTAGCCTAAAAACTGGAGGAGGTACACCAACATGGTGACCGTCAGGGCATCGTCCAGATTCAGCATGTGCATAGCGCTCAGTGATTCCTGATTTTATAAAGTTTGAGGATACGTTTGCAAAGAGTCATAAAAACAGGATAAGAAACTCAAAAAAGGTGTCCACCCACTGTCACAGAAGCATACTTGTTAAAGGCTGAGTCAGTCCAGGAGGCTCGAGCAATGTGGTCAAACGGGTTCAACCCCAGAAGAATCCCAGAGAAACAGGAGGAGACGAGGGTGTGCCGAGGGCGTCGTCACCGGCGTCATTGGTAGAGCAGGTAGTTCTTGAGGGAGGCCGGCAGGGGCAGTCTATGGATCTCACCCAGACGGTCTCTTCCTAACGCCACCCTCACCGAACGCCTACACAGGTCCATCAGAGAAAGGGGTTCAGCTGGAGAGAGGGGGAGACAAGAGGGGAGTAGAGGTGAGGAGAAGCATGTTTCAGGAGTGTGTTAATGTCACGCCTTAACTAAAGGGACGGTGTCTAATGTGTCAGACACCAGCTTAAATGAAGTGAACACAAGTGACCGGATATGAAATGGGAATGGAACAGCACTACAACCGTTATCCTCCATTGTCATGAAGATCACAACAAGAGGGTTTGTGGGCCATAACGTGGCTTTTTGTGCAAAATACAACATTAACCGAGATATTCACAAACCAGTTACGAGAAATGTTGTTGCCTCCAGACAATTTGATATTAAACATTTAAGCCGTTTTGTGCTTTCAAGTATAGGATAAGAATTCTTAATAAACTCCTACTAAATGAAGATGGCCAACAGAAGAAGGCTATTCAAGGAGGAACTTCACAGATGTGAAATCCACTCTCATGTAAGAAATGGACCAACATTCCAGGAGGTGGTATTAACACATCTGGATGCTGGAGTGTGTGTACTAGAGAGAACATCGAACTAAAGTAAATTTAATTCAGCAAATGTCTGTTTCGTAGCTTTCATAGATTACAAGGTAGATTAACACATCAGGTAGTTTTCTCTAGTAGCGCCTATAACTTCTAAAAATAAATGACATTTCTGTGAATTGATTGAATTCAATCTGTGAGAATATTTTTTTTCTTTTGTGACCGCTGGTGAGAAAACAATTTACGTGATGGAAATTTAGGGCATCTTGAAAAATTTCCATTTCAGTGCGATATCCGAGTTTCAGTATCGATACACTTTTTTGGAAACCTTACTTGCTGTATATTCTTTAGCTACAGTGCCAAACACTGCCTACTGAATCAGAGCTGCCTTTGACATCACCACATTTCCCCAGTAAGAGGAATGTCCTATCAAATTGAAGCAGGCTTTTATGTATATCATTGCATCTGTAGTGCTTGTTTTCCACAGGCCTAAACTAGGTCGCGGGATCTGAGCTGAACATAAAAATCGAATGAGCACACAGCACTTGGGACATGAGGGCAGTACAGCATGTTTTAATAAGAACCTACATTTCCTCATTTAAAGCTCATGACCCTTTCACCATCATTTTCAATCATTTAAAACCGTGTTTGTCTTTGTCCACAAAGATTAAGGACCACTGGGTGTCTTTAAAGTCATAAGCGTCGAAATCTATAATGGAGGCGCCACAGCCTAGTTTAAAAACAAAGGCAAAGTACAGTTATCGAGCTAACTCAGAAACATTCACATATGAGAAAAGGCAATTCATAGATTTTTGTTAAATATTAATTTACACGCATTCTGGACTGCAGAGCAAGAATACAAATAATGTCATGTTATCACAGGAAGTGATTTACATAATAGCTGGAGAAGCCGCCATACTGATGCAAGTCAGCAGGAACATGTCCTGCTTAGACAGTACGGCAAACCCTCAGCTGTCCCACCTTTGTTTTTTGCATTAATAAAAGCTGCCACTGGTTGAGTAAGAGCTGGAAACAAGACGTCGCGGATAGCAAAGCACTGTCGGCGCAGAGAGAAAAGAGTAACAGAATATTTAAAAAGCATTTTAAGTTTGTACTTACGATCAAGTCCATTTATGTACCGGATTCTTATTTCACAGTGTCCCCACACGGCGCTCACCACAGGGTACAGCTTCCTGCCCTTAAGTCCTCTGAACGCCACCCCTAGATAATGTCCGTCCACTATGTAACCCAGAGTCCCCTCGTCCATGTCCAGCACGACTAAAAGGGAGTCTGGTATTATGAAGGTGTCGTCTGGCTCCAGAAAGGCAGGGTAGGTTTTTCCTGGGTGGTTCTTGCCGTCGTGGTAGAGTTTACTCCTGCACAGGTCCCAGCCCCAGGACTCGGCGTTGCTGCCCACCAGAGCCGTGTAGCCGACGGAGTGTAGCGGGGCGTCACTCGAAGCCACTCCGACCACGGCGTGCGTGCCCCTCTGGCGCATGGCCCAGCTGATCTCCCACACATGCAGTCCCCTCGTGTAGCCGACGTGCCCCCTGACGGCGTCCGTGCTCTGCGCCACAGGATGCCTGTGAAACACCAGCTTGTTGTCGTCCTTGACGAAGATGTTCAGGGAGCGGTCGTCGTTGTTCCACGAGTGCTGGACCTGGATGTCCACGCCGGCGGGCGGCATGTCCAGCAGCAGGTCCAGTCGAGACGGCTTGGTGTGACTCAGGGCCTGGAGCTCCAGCTTCAGGGGGCTGAACGCTGGATCCCGCATATCAATGGTTTTAATGCCACCTGGGACTTTTTGCCCCATGCTCTGGGTGGTTATAGCAGCTCCCTCCTCTTTCTCCTCCTCCCCCCACCTCCTCAAAGACTTAATGGGGGGGAGTAATCAGCCTCAGAGCCTCTCATTCACTGTGCTGCTGCAACCCAAGCAGCAGGTTTGTCGCTTCCTCTCGTCACGAGCTGCAGACAGCGAAGGTGTCACCAGGTGTTGTTCAAAGCCTACCTGGAGAGATTAGAAGAGATGAAAGCAGATAAGACAAACAAGTTAATTATCAATTTATCTTGGCAATTCATTTTTGAATCAGGAAATTCAGATCCAACAAAACAATGGCACGTTCAACATAAGAGTCCATCCTCATCACGCCCTTTGATTGGGACACAATTGTACATCTGGTGCAATTAATGTTACAGTGCATGTTTACATTTACTGGTAAATGAACTGGTTTAACTAGATTGATTCATCAGTGGACAACGACGGATATTAGCTGCAGGGCTATTAAGCACTTTGTTCTCATGTGATGTTTCGTGTAGAAACCATAAAGGCGGCAGTGAAATCGGGAGATGTACACCTAAATACCAACATTTACACGGATAACCATCATTACACAACAGGAAGAAATCATTTATCTGCTGACCACGGCAAAGGTGCGCCATCAGTGAGACATGTTTTTCTCACAGCCATCTGAAGATGATCTAAAGCAGCCAGATTGTCTGGTCTCGTATGACCTACCAGTTGAGTTCACCATCACTTTGAGCCAACAGGTTTCTGCCTCAAGTCATAAAAATATCTGCTATTGACTGCAGTCCAATCCATTACACATAATCGTTTCAGAGGACAGACTGGCCTAATTAATCACTTCTGATTGATTTAATGGAAGAAATTTAATTTGCATGGTTACAATTTCACAAATGTGCACGTCCACATGTTGAATAATCCACTAGTTATGATCTTAGGACAACAACTGCAGACCTACAAGAGACCATACACGTCAATGACACATTTTCCTTTAAATGTACATGAGCCATAGATCCAGCAGCTAGACAATATCTAGATCCAGTTAGTACACAATGTCTGGTAGAAGAGCAACATGCTACGTTGATCTTAATATTCTCATCATCAGCTTCTACATCGTTGAGAAAACAATCATTTCCGTTTATTATCAAGAGCTTATTACACAAGCCCAACTGGTAAACAAGCATGTTATGCTCTTTTTGCTCAGTGACTCATTGAGGATTAGAGCGCACAAACATGAAAAAGAAAGAAAACAAAAACATTAAAACCTGATTTCATTAGTTGTCCTCAATTTTACACATTACATCCAACTTGTCTTGATAAAACAGAGTCAATCCTAGAATTTGTGAAAACATGATGTCTCTAATCAGGACCAGTTATCAAGCAGCTGCAACATAAAGTGCTGACCTTCCTGACAGAATGGACAGTCTGATGTGTAC